CCCGTTATAAAATTGTTTACGTCAATAAGGTCACAAGACTGAAAATTCAGATCAAGAAAACACGCGAATTCGATAACGTGACTGGCACAAATCTCTTTTAGTTTTGGATGCTCCACATGTTCCAGTCATTCTTGTAGCGTGAAAATAAACCAAATGATACACAAGGTAGACCAGCGGTATATGCAACGTCACTTAATTAACTTGCCCAAAAATTCGTAGTCATGATTAACTTTTCCCGCTTTGTCTCCCTTCGGTTCAAAAACTCATAGCTTTGCTACTGGTGTAAATTCTAAGCCTTTTTCCGACCATCAGTTCCAGAGTTACTTGGTTTCTAAGTTTTCTGAACCCTAACTTACGGAAAAGCCAATTTAGAGATGAATGCCAGAATTAGACCGTGGGTAAACAAATGATAACATGCTTAGTGAAGGTCGGTGACGGTATGATTCATTTCTTTTGGAAGGCTTTGGCAAAGGGTTGAAACTTTATTTTCTGTAGCCACTGTGGACGAAAAAAGGAAGAGAGAGCATCTCCTCTTTGAGGCCTTGACACAGTTTATGAAGAGATCAGCCCTTCATTCAATTAGCGAAATTGTCGGGTAAGTCACATGCCTTATTTTCTAGCAAGTTGACTAAAGTTAAGTTAAGTGGCATTTTTTGTGTGATTTTGATATGGTCAGCTATTGCTTCCAGATGCAACCCTTTTTGTTAAGAATTTGACTCATCCAATCGCTTAACTTCGTTCTTAAGACTTGCTTAGTGTAGGCGCAATCTTTCTGTTCACTTAACAACGAATACTGGGGCGACTCAAACCATTATCAAAAACGTCAAACCTCTAAATCGCAGATTTTACCATACCAAGTACAAGCGCATCCAGGCCCCCCACGTCGTGGGCCACTACGCAGCCGGGGCCCGGGTTATTGGCTTGACAGAAAACCAGCTGAGAAGGCGCATGGAGAGCCTGAAGGCGAGGCATGCTGCTGGAGATAACAAATCCCCGTATGCTGAGCCGTTGCACATAGTTTTTGGCACGGTTGGTATTTTTGCGTTGTGTAGAAAAAATAATCGGGGACTTCTTAAGTCTATGAATGGTTTAGAAAATTCGCGCCGCCTCCAGTTTATCAAATGCTTAAGTTGGTCTCTTGCGTTCTCCTGGTCCTCTGACAGTTTACGATCATACTTTAATCTTATCCACAGTTCCTTCTAGCATCTTTGGATGTATGTTTTAGCTCTGTCGGGCTAATAGGTTCACCTCGTTTTTGGTATTCTATCAATTTGCGCTCTATTTCCTTTACAAGGTAAATATTTGGTGCGAGGTCATGACGAACCTCGGACCGAGCGCCACCCCGTCCGGCCCGTTAGCGGAGTTTGTATATACTAAAACAATTTGTTATTCCCTTTTCAATCGTAACAACTGATTTTACCAGCTTTCGTAATGTAAATAGGGAATTTTTGAGCAGGTATGTGAGGTCGGCTTCAAGGCACGATGTGCCAAGGCTTACGAAAGGCACATCGACTGTCAATTAAAGAGGCTTATAACTTTAAAGGCTCTTAGTTTCAATTCCATAAGAATTTATAAGTGACAAGGAAAAAGCGAGTGAAAAGGAAATTTGAAAGCAGAGATGCGAGGTCAGGCTTCAAGGCTCAGTATGCGAAAGGGCCTTTCGCAACGCTCATCGCCTGTAAATTAACTACAGAGTAAGTAACGAATATGAAAGTGATTTTAGCAGTAATGAACTCTATTTAACCAGTAGTGAAAATAAAGCTTGAAAAAAAGATTCAGGCCTGTACGAGATTTGAACCCATGACCGCTGCGATACCGGTGCAGTACTCTACCAACTGAGCTAACAAGCCAACTGTGAGCTGCTTAAATAGTGTTCAGCACTGCGAAGATCGCTTTCACTTATATTCAATTCTTAACCCGCAGTTCACATATACGATTTTCGTATATTTACAGTCATTTATTCATCACTTTACGGGTTCATTACGAACCAACATAATGACCAGCGCTCAGCTGACATGTTAGCTCAGTTGGTAGAGCACTGCACCGGTATCGCAGAGGTCATGGGTACAAGTTCCGTACAGGCCTACATTTTTTCAGGCCTTATTTTCACTACGCACGTACTGTTTAAGTAGAATTTATTACTGCGAAGATCGCTTTCATATTCATTTCAAAACCCGCAGTCCACATAATTTATATGATTTTCACATATTCACAGTCAGAGTAAGTAACGTTACAGCTCTACGTTTCTCTTCTACACAAATTTATAGGTGGCGAGGAAAAAGTGTCCTCAACGCCGTGCTAAGACTAACACCATCACAGAAACAGATGGCTTACCAGAAATTTCTCTGACCAAAGGAAAGATCAGACTAAAATTTGGAAGACCACGCATGCCACCCCCGTCTTCTTCTTACCCCAATATACTCGAAAAAAGCCCTGTTTTACCAAACGCGGTAAGTTACTCACAATTACAGAAGGGTCTCGTAGACACAGCGTGTGCGAACATTGTGATGATTAAGTGGCATGCTTTCAGGCTGACAGAGACAAGTTGTTTTACACAAGTCACAAACAACCACACAAGCCAGTGAGTTAGGGTGTTTTCAAAGCGTATAACTTCTTTGGAAAAGTTTAAAACAGCCGAACTGAGTAAATCACAGGATCTACCCATACTTGAATAGGCTTTGTATATGTGACCCTCTATATGATTTCAGGGACAAAGGTGATACAACTTGATCTGTAGTACTATTCCGTCAAAACTAGATTTTAAAAGGTACCCGGTGACTTCGCCAACATGTTAAATCGTGGACAGTTGTCTTTGGTTTACTCGTCGACACACCCGTCACTTCGCCGACATCCGCGGTCACTCTGCCAGCGTACTTGATCAACCGCGTAACAAAAATTGGAGTCGGCGAGCGACTGGTAACCTTTTAAAATATGACTGCAGGTTCGTTTAGTTTCCGGGGGTTACGTTATCAACACAGTTGATAAAAAAAAAAAAAATTATCTTACGAGTTACGGGCTGCTCAGTTCTCAAGCTGCGCATACCGAGTGCCTCACGTCACTCCATTTTCTTAATTTTTGTGCATAACTTACACGAAGTTTCAACACAAACAATTCTCAAATCTTGCCTCTCTGTCCTCAGTCTATCATACAACAGACTATGAGCCCAGCAGCTCAGCTTCTAATGCGCGGGCGTCAAACTTACCACCAAGGAAAACGTAAACAACGAAAACCGCCCCTGAAGAAAAACGGCTGGGTCAGCCAGAGATTTAAACCATTCCCCCTTGAGCTTCCTAGTATCTTTGCTGAACGAGAAAAGAAAACAGGCAAACCGGAACAACACCCAAGCCTCACATTCGACGATTTAAAGAAAATACGAGACAAGGCAAGTAAATGAACTAAGAACTTCAACCTAAGAAGTAAAATCTCTAAAGTAAACAATTTCCTATGTTGAGAATCTCTAGTAGAAAGTAGCCAACCGGAACCGGTTTTTTTTCTTTTGCGCTTTTCAGGCGAGCATGAGTAGAACGTGATGAGCGAGGATGCGCGTGAGGGGAAGACGACTCGTACTTCGCCCTCTCATCGCGTTTGCCTCCTGCATACCTTCGCTCGTCTGCAAATGAGAAAAACAAAAGGCTTGTTCCGAGAAGGAAAAGAGATGATGCAGAGGTGAAAGCTCTTGCCTCTAACCACCGTGATTTAGGTTCTTTTCCTGAGCCAGCAATATATTTTTGTAACCCTTTAACTCTTAGGGGTGATTAACATGTAACTTCTCCCTATAATATCCATACATTATCGAGCAAACAGGTGATGAGAATACTCAAACTTACACAGCTAGAAGAAGTTATCTTGATCTATCACCAAATTCTCTTAAATAATTTACAAGGGATGAGTTAAAGCTAGAAGGGAGAATTGACCCTCAGATCTTAAGAATTAAAGGGTTAAATGTCAAATCATCTGTTTGTTGGATTTTGTATTCATGCTGCATGGAGAAGTTACATATTTGTCACTTCTGTAAATTATAGGTTGATGTGATTGCTCCTTCTTTTATCTAAAAGGTTGCTCAAGCGAGAGATGTTCACTTTCAACGACTTCGGGAAACAAAAAGCAAAGACAATGAAGATCATTGGAAATCCTTAGCTCCTGAGCAGATTAACTCAGATGTACTAAGAGATTATTTCAGACTGGCTTTCAATACTTACACACCATATGCCACTGTCCATGCTGTTTGAATATTCCGAGAAACCTCTTAATTTGTTTGAATGGATGGAAATAAAGAAATGAGATTAACTTGTATTAATAATCCAGCAACAAATTAACATAATTTAAACTGCATTCTACCTGAGTGCAAGATATCACTCCAATAAATGAGGGTTCTTTTAGTATCTTTCACCCTTTAACTCCCATGATCTCATTAGTAATTCTCCTTACTGTCTGCCAAATGATTCTCATTATGTTAGTTTGGAGAATTTGGTATCAGATCAATTAGTAACCCCATAATTGATATTTTTCTTTATTCTCATTACTTGTCTGCATGATATTGTATAGATATAGTAAGGAGAAATTCTGTCTTGGTCACTCACAGCAGTTAAAGGGTTGAGTTATTTTTGCCAGCTGTTGTGCCGAGTCATGATAAAAAGAGGTATAAGGCTAGATTTATAGATTGAGTGAATGCTGTTACAGTTTCACCATGATTAACCCCTAAGAGAGACTGCACTGCACATTTGCAGTGACCACAACATGAAACAAACAATTATAATTCCCTTTTGAAAACAACAAAATAATTTTCAACACCAGATGTTGCAGAAAAACAGAGCCTGAGAAATAACTGATGTACTGCTTTTAAAGATATATTTGAGTTTTATTCATTTACCTGTAGCTTTTGCTATTTACATGCCATTAAATAATGGCTATTTCCATTACATGATGATCTGAAAATACAGCTGATGATCAAAATGCTAATAATTTACAAATACTAAGGTAAAAAGAATGGCTAAACAACATTTTGCCACAGTTTATTATTACAGTTGCTGTGCTGCTCTGTGCAATCATGTCAGTGACATTACTAGGATTATCAGCTAAGTGAGGTGCACACCAAGTTTCTTTATAGGATTTGGACCATAAATATGTTGTCGCGGTCAAAAGCAATTATTTCCATTGGTAGTCAAAACTCAAGAGCATGCTGCATCACCAACCATCAAACCTGATAGCCTGCTAAAAGAAGGCAAATGACCCGTTGCCACTGGAATCATGGTAAATGACATTTCTAAGCTACATCATGGTCACTGTCTTCATTATTTTGCCACTTTCAAGAGACAACCACCTCAGCATCATTGAACTCTTTTTTTGACAAGAGGAATCAATCAGCTTTTGCTCTGCGCCTTGCTTTGGCTATATTTGTTTGACGAGTTGCTTTAAAAGAAAAGAGAGGAAACTGTTAAAAAACATATTTATCTCCTGGTAATTTAATAACTGAAGATAATTCTCTATTCTTTAAATTTTGATTTTAAAATATGCCTCTGAGCCTGGTACTTTTGGGAAATGGGCCTCTCTGATTCAAGTGAACATAACACAGTGGTCATCACAAATATCTTGTGTGGCTCTGGTTCTTTCTTTTTTCCTCCCATTTCCCTCAGTGTTTACTAACAGCTCCACCATGAACACAACAAAGAATAACAACATACAGCCAACATGGCCAAGTTTACAGACAACTTCATTATGCTGCCATAAGTAGTGTTAAAAAATTACAAGAGTGTAAACTAACACATAGTGGGTTACGTCCCAGACAACAATGTGTATAAATCTCTCCATTAAATACTTTGAACTTTCCTTGGAAACTGTAAAAACTACGTCTTACTTTGATTCTGCATGTTTACAGTAGCAAATTATCCGTCATAATACGCATGTGCAACCATTTGATCGCTGTATTAGTACACGTATCATTTCCAATCAAGCCACCACGAAAATAATTCCCCATCATTCAATTTACTAATACAGAGTGGAAGTTAAACACATCGGAAATTCTGGCACATGCCTCAGGACTTTGTTTTTCCAAGATTTCACGCCCTTGTTGGAAGCATGGAACGATTAGCCTTGTTGGTTATCTATCATCTCATATCCAACGCACGCTCGTGGAACAATTGTTTAATGGTCGCTGAACTTCGAACAAACTTATAACGACGAAGGTAAATTTATCTGTCTTTTCACGGTTACGTACCTTTTTTCTTCTTTTCCTTTTCATTCTTCTCTATATGTTTTGCTAGCTTCAAGGATAGATATCCACTTATTGCCATCAAAGGGGTCAATATTAAGAAAACTGCAAAGAACATAACAAAAAATAATTAATTAAGCCTATAGACCAGTATAAACATTCGCAGAAGTGCAAATATTGTAAAAATAAAATAATCGAATACTGGAATAAAACCACAAACAAAAAGTAAAAGTAAGCAACATACAAAATAACGATCACTTACCATAGAAAAGAAACTCTTTAGGGTTTAAAGCGACGTATTTTACAAATGAGTCAAGCGTGTCTTTCCACGGACCCTTCTGGACTGAATTGTCCGCCATATTTAATTACAATCACATACCGCTGACCAGCAGAGACAGCGTAACCCTCAGGATGGGAATGGCGAAAAGTAAGTTTCATCCAGTAACAAAACCCTTCATCACAGCAACCAAAAATCTCCACTTTTGACTGATTGAGTATGACTAAACAAAGACACATATGACCTCATATCTCCATGGAGAGTCACCTGTCAGTGAAAAAAGTCATTGCCGAAAATAAAATTTTCCCTACCTAAAAACCATGTACAGTTTTATGTGTTTTCTGTTCTTTGGTTTCCTAGATAAGGGGTCAGTTAAAAATCACCATGAGAATTCTCTCTCTCACACCCACACAAAAAAATTAAGGGTTGAGACATTTTAAACAAACAGAGAGTGATAGTTCAAAAATAACTTGATCATGAACATCAGGAGTTTGATTTGGAATAGTTTTACAACTTGGTAAAAAAACGTTTTAACCTCACTTCAGAAACACATAAGAGGTTTGGAAAACACTCTAAAGGCTACCAATAGTTGATCTCATCTCCACCGCTTGCTCATGTCTTTCATCTTGGTAGATGCCTTATACTTTTTCTTTGATCCTTAAGAGTGACTGGTATCTAATTTCTCATTGCAATAACACCCCTGAGTCACACATTAAGGTGATAAGAATTAAAGAATTGATCATGAGCTCTAGAAGAAGCTCTTGATTGTTAAACAAATTCTCCTTGTCAGTTCCATCAGAAATTTAAAGAACAGTCTGGAGAAAATGCATACTAATGTTTGGGTTAAAGGGTTGATAAATGCACACTGGCTCATGATCCAATTGTTAATTGTGTGTCATGGTTTCTGCATATCATGCTCCTAAAAATAAGATCCAGTAAGAACACCAAAATTTGTTAACTAAAAGCTATACATACTTTATTGCAATATAAGATGAGGAAAGCAACGCATTATTAAAACTATTTCCTCATATGTACAAATATTAAGTTTTACCATTTACCTAATAAATAGACCAGATCCATGTTGAGTACTTGAACATATTAGAGTAACAAGCAGAGACAATGCTGTCATGTCCCCAAATACACTCTGTACCTTGGCCTTATTCACCACCTCACATAATTGTTCTACTTTTACTTAAAATGTTATTACATTGAAAGGTTTGTGACCTTCATTGCAGCAAATTCTTAACTTCCATTGCAAGCACTGCATATATACTAAAATATTCCCCTGAAGTGACTTAGACATAATTTCTCTTTACAATATCAATACAACGACTAGCAGTCAAGTGACGAGAATAGAGAAGAATATCAATCATGGGATTATTGGCTGATCTAATAACAAACCCTCCAAACTAACATCATAAGAATTGTATGGCAGATAGTAAGGAGAATTACTACTGAGATCATGGGGGTTAAAGGGTTTAAACCCTGTTTGACTTAGTTTTTGTCTGACTGGACATACTGGTGAGGTAGAAGTTCTGTTGTAAAAGCAGGAATTAAATAATACTTCACCAGCCAAATCACTTTTCGTTCATTTCCAAAAGTGCTCCAAAGTTACTGATGTCTGCATGTGACTTTCATGTTTGTAAATAAACCAAACACCAATTCTTCTTTACTTTATAATGATTATGATTTGTAACCAATAAGAAAAGAAACTTTCAGTAACTTTGGCAGTTTTTTTTCTTTGCATCAAAAACAAAAAAAAATACATCGTTTGATGATCAGGTACAGAAATAATTAATTTTTGCCAAGAGAGAGTACATTTTCTACTTAATAGATAACCTGAACAAGGAAAACATAACCAGAAAAAAAAATTGTGAAAATGATGTCTCCTGGAAAATGAGTCAAATAATTTACAAAAATTCAGCAACTCTAGAGAACTTTTGTAGGGGTTTCAATAACTTTTACCATAAACAGCCACTGATGATGTAATAGGCAGCTGTTCTTAGAAAAAGGGGTTGAAAGGTGAAACCAAATCACAAGGGCTGACTTGCAGGCTGAGTGGATGGTGATCAGAGGTCTTATGAGCAGCAATAGAATGCTGGCAACTGGCTTTTATCGAAGTCCCAGCTTTTGAAAATGAGCGAAACGTGGACGTGACAGTTCATCTGTAGTCTCTCAAAACTGGTTTGTGTTACACTAAATATCTGATTTAAATAAATATTTTGTGATAGGACAGGTTCACTTTTCTCCTGAAATGTTTGATGACCTCATTCCTCGCTGCTTTTAGATCAAATTCACTTGATCTATAAACTGTGTCTGCGCCCAACTGTAGCTTACTGCTCACTTAACTCTTTATTCCTCAACTCCTCTTCTCAAAAGAATGAACATGGCATACCTGTCTTCTGATTAATAATACTACCTACATCTTGGAGACTTGCAGTTCACAAATACAGCTATGGAGCTTTGATTTCATTATGGCAAGATGTTGCCCTTTTAAGATTTGATTTCCCTCTTTGTAGCCACATACCAGTGAATGTACAATGTGTTAAAATTTACTCAATGCCATGTGCAAAGATCATTACAAGACCAGGATCTAAAGTCATTGATTCACCCATATGTTCATTTTCACAGGCCATGATCACAACTGCTTGTTTTCCTGGTATTCTCCTACAAACATACTGTTCATACCGACGGCGATTCAACTGCCGTGTTTCAAGTGTGCTCAACCCTGGGGGCCACCTCCTCTCGTGAGCATTCTCCATTAGTTCATTCAAAATGGTAGGTGGGCATCCACTGTCTGCAAGCGCTCGCCGAATGACTGCCTGTAGAACAGCGTCGGGCGTAGATATCATACCACCCCATCTTGTTACTCTGGCTGATTGTAACCCCCTTAACCACTGATGAATTTCATTGACATAGTGATCTGGTTGTGACAGGTTGCTTGGCAATAGTGGCAATGCCTGTGGCAAATTGATCACTCTCATGGTTCGGATCATTTCCTTGAGAGCTTGAATCTCACGTTTCTGTTCATTTAGCTGCTGGCGTTGTTCATCAATTTGAGCTTGCAGCTGTTCTTGCTTGAAATTCTGGTTTTGGATCAAGTTATTTAATTCACGGACACAATTATGCTGAGAAAGCTCGTCAAATGGAACCACTAATCCACATCCCTGATTGCACTGAACAGGCCTCTTTGGGTTATGTTCACACTGTGATAAATGAGAGTGTAATTGATCCAGTCTGACCACCCCATCACAGCCATGCCTTTCATTTTCACATTTTACTGTTAACTTTGATAGAAGGTTCTTCAAGATTCTTGGCACTTGCTTCAGTTCATGTGGTGTGAGGCCGCGTCGATCAACTGGACAAATTTGTTGATGTCTCAGCCATTCATGTATACAACCAGCACAGAAAGCATGTTCACATGCTGGGGCTTGAAGAGGATCTTCCAGTACTGATTTACAAATTGCACAAAGCAGTTCCTCATCAACTGAACATGTAAATCGTGCTGTATCATACCCCATAGCAACTGGTATGCTTCACCTAAACATGAAGAATGAGTTGGTATCAGACTCGTCATTGCATAATAAGTTCCAAATAGGTTCATAGACAAGTTGGGGGGGGGGGAGAGGGGGTAATTAAAGAAAGCTTTATTGGGGGTGTCTCCAAAGCCTTCCAAAACTAGCCCTGTTTCACCCTTTAACTCCTAGAAGTAATTGACATGTAACATCTACCTATAATATACAAACAAACAGATAGGGAGAATTCTTAAACTCATAACTTCCAAGTTTTTGTTTTGATCTTATGCCAAATTCTTGTAGCTACTATACAGGGAAATGTGCCGCAGCTAGAAGGGAGGGCGAATTAATAATCATATACCTGGAGTTAAAGGGTTAAGACAAGTCCCTTTCAACTTAATCTCTACACCTTTTACCTGACATAAAAAATCAGAAATTTATTACAGGTTCTTGTGAATTTTTGCTAGCCAAGGATAAAATTGATCTTAATTTGTTGTTTCAACTAGTTTGAAAAGTCTTCTATGGGTATAAAATTAAAAATTCACCTCCTGTGCTAATTTTTATTGTATACCTTCATCTCCAGGTGCTAAGACCAAACTGACTCTTGCTACTCAAATTACTAGTGTAAAATAATTGTACAGAGATTTTGACTCAGAAGTCAAAATGTCATTTCCCACCTAAACAGATGACAGATTATGTCTGTAGAGCAACTTAACAAGCTAAGAATGGTTTTCTAATGTTCAATTTTGAGGAAAAATCAGTAAAACATCAAATAACTGTGCACATGTCTGATCTTCCCTGAAAATTGTTGAAATTTCTCTGCTGTATTTTGAAGTGATGCTGCTCATTAGCTAATAATTGTTACCACTTATGTAGACTACAACCTGCCAACATTTATGCCATATTCACAGTTAGGTATAGAAAAATACCAATGTGAAGAATCTTAATAGAGAAACTGTTTTCTGTTTTCCCTTTTTTAAGATTTGTGACCACAATAAATACACCTTATTTGATGGCATAAATCTGTTGAGGCCGAAATAGGAAGAGCATCCCTTAGGATACCTGGATAATAAAACCTAGAGTTCATAATCGAACAATCATTCAAGAAAACAAAGGCGATATTTGTTCCTCTCAGCCTCGCTGTAAAGAGATATTTTTCAAGTATCGATCAAAACCTTTTACAGATACCAAGGCAAGGCTTTATTCTTCGCATGAACCAGCCTGCCCAAAAAGTTAAATATCATCGCTATCTCCACACTTTAAGGCAATAAGCAGTATTACTACGCTTCCAGGGAAATTTTAGGTCTCTGAAATGCTAATTTCGTTCAAATCCCAAGGAATTGTTTGTTATGATTTGAAAGTATTGTGAAGAAGTAACTTTAAGCGTGTGTGCGAGAACATTGTTGAAAAAACTAGACCACAAAAGGTAATATCAATACCTAGTAAGCTCGTTAGATTTACCCTGGGGGGAAAAAACAGAGAAAATAAAACCTTGACAGGGACTTCAGCAGGCCTGAGATCCCTGACTTATGGAAAGCGATTTTCCGCTTTTGATCGTCAAAAACTTCAATCATTTCTGATACATGATCATTTTCATACCTTATGATTGTAAATCGCTGGTTTTACACGTCTCCAAATTTAAGATTTCACTGGCAACTATCCACATATGTAAAAGCTTCCCGGGAAAAACAACCCATTACCGCCATGAGAAATTTTTACGACAAAGCGCCTTCAAATCTCGATTTGAATCATGGGACTGAATTTCATTTGTAATGACGCACCGGGGAGGGGTGGCGTCATGCATCATATGGACCGCCCGTGTGATATCTCTCACGTCCTTGGCTGAAATCCAAAAGTGGTCAAAAAAGTTTTTCTTGGAAATGATTGTGTCATGATGACGCACAGGTCATTCACGCTTTTTCATCATTTTTATATGACAATTATGAGAGTTGTGAAAAGAACAATAGTCACACACGTCTCTAAGACTACCTAGATTACACAGAATTAACCAAAAAAAAACAACATTGCACTATATAGCGAATTACCAAAACGTGAAAGTATGCCAAATAATAAAACAGTACAGTCAAAATAAACGCTTCCTCTTGTCAGGCTCACTCTCTCAACGGACGTGACGTCACATGCTCAGAAGGGAGGTCTATCCTCTGAAAGTTTAATTGCTCGTGACAGCTCCAGACAAAAGAGGCCAGAAACGCAGTACGCATACCACATTTTGCCACAAAATGGCGCTTACTACGTTATTTGAGTGGTTTGGCTATGTGTTGTGTTTTCTTACTATCCTCCCGTCAGCGCAATGTCGCAACTGTACTAAGGATGACTACAAGCCTTACATAACGCCCTGTGACATAAACACACAAACTCGTTCAATCGTCTATTACCTCAATACAGATTGGTAAGTTTTTAAAATTTGAAAGATCAGCGCTGAATGTACGCAATATGCCAAAGATTCGCTGGAATTATAATTCTATTGTTTAGGGCGTAAATTTTAAGATTATTTCTTGAATTCCTTCGTTGAGGCTCGAATTTAACTCAGGTATCCTATTTTGGTACTTTTCCATCCCAGTTTTCTGGTTCATTCGCAGTGATTTCTTTATTCAAAATTGTTAAGCTTATTTCTGAGAGTTCTTTATTTTCGGTTCTGTCAGCTTTTCTTGATACGGCTTCAGAAAACCTTAGAAACAATGTCTATTGATCACAATTATGGTAAACCAGCGCGTGTGAGCGTTCGTAGTAAATCAAAGAAGTTGTTATTTTAAGCTTCCTCAACGATTTTGGATTGTTTGTTTAGCTTGATTCGCGAGTACATTTCAAACCAGCATTTGAAAAACGAAAGAAGTCTTCAAGAGAAAGAATCATATCATTTTGTTTCAACCCATCTTTAAGAAATTGACGGGAGATGCGTTAAAATACAGTATGTTCGACGCGTAGCCTTCAGCTACTAGTTCGGTTTCTTCAGGGCTTCTTGAGCTCTAGAGTGGTTTCCGAACTTCTCAGGTGCTTAAAATCTCTCTCATTGTTCTGAATACCGTATATTGCTTTTTGATCATGTTTCAACATGCGTCAGTGAATCAGAGATTGTATTTCAACATCATCTAATATCAATGCAAGACATTTTCTTTTACTTCGTGAAAGCTGAAATAAGCAAATATTTACTCATGAGACAAATTTTCACAACTTGATGAGACGAAAAATGTAGTCATTCGTTGTCTTTTCTAAAGAATTTAGTTACAATGTTGCCAAAGCAAGAAGTAAACATGTTTGTTGACAATGGTCTTCCGATGGGTTGCATGAGCTTAAAGAATTTCTTTTTATTTCTATTTTTCTAAAGAAGTAAGTAATATTTGAGGTTACAATTTCTATGTAAGCAAAACAGATTGAATCATGATCATTATCCTAATTTCAGTTAAAACCTCTCCATAAGAATGTTCCTATTTGATAAGAAACCAACAATAAAATGAAATTTTCATTTTGGTAAGAAATTGAAAATCGGCACAAAGGAACATGAAATCAGAATGCTATAGTCTCTTTTTTTAAAGTGATTTTGAAGCTTGTTCTCTGGTAGCCAAGTGTTTTTTCTCTTTAGTTGTTGTCAAGTTAAAAAATGGTCAGGATAAATTGCGTGCAATAGTTTGCAGAAAGTTAGTATATGATAATGAGTACTGAATTATGCAATGTGAGCAAGCAGTTGACTTGAATTTTATTTAACTGGAAAGTGATAGATGATGCAGCATTTTCTGCATCACCCTGCCTTTACTTAGAATAAAAGGAGTTTTGTAAAATAATGTAAACATATGTAATGTTGTTCTTTATTCTCAGCAAAGGAGGTGTAGCTCCTCAGGCTCCACAAACAAATATACCCTGTGATTGCCCTCAAGGAAGTGGACTTTCTGGAAGCCTCGGCTCTACTCAGTGTACACCATGTGAAGTTGGATCCTATGGGCCAGGGGGAGAAATCATCAACAACTGGAAAAACTGGACTAAGAATGGTACTGTGCCCCCAGAAGGATCAGGCATTGTTACATTCTGTGAAGCTGAACGTCAATATGTTCAGCCTTGTCGCCCATGGAAAGTAAGCGGTAAGGAGAAAATTTCAATCAACTTTTAACCCACTCAACTCCCTCAAGCTGCTACACATTTCCTTGTAAATTTGTTACATATCTCATACCTGATAAGTTTAAGTATTCTCACTACCAGTTAGCTAGATAATGTACAGATACTATGGGGAGAAGTTACATGTCAATCACTTTTGGGAGTTAAAGCGTTAAGTAATTCTCTTCACTATCTACCATACAATGTGGTTTTGGATTAACTTATAATCTCCTAATTCATATTTTTCCTTATTCATATTTTTCCTTATTCTCATCACTTGTTTGCCTGATATTGTATTGATTTTGTAAGGAGAAATTTTGTCTTGGTCTCTTTTGTGAGTTAAAGGGTAATGAGTTGAAAGCAATCTAGGGTCTTTTTTGGTTTGCTTTACTATTCTGTATAATTTGTCTTGAAAACTTGTGGCATTTTTTCAACCAATCAGATTCAAAACTAAAACCAAATTTTAATTAGTGACTGGGATTTTTCCCTTGTTTGTTCTTACTCTCGGTTCACATTGTCCCATTGTGACATTCTACCGCACAGTAATGCCTCCACCATCCTGTAGAAGCTCTGGACACTGTCTCTCGCTTTTAAACATTCCCCCAGCTGAATCTAGGATTCAACTGTTATCAAGTTATTTAACCCCTTAACCCCTAAGTGTGACTAGCATCTAATTTCTCCCTACAATATCATCACTGAATCACACTTTAATGTCATGAGAATAAAGGAAATGATCACCAACCAAAGAAACTCTTGATTGTTAGACAAATTCTCCTTGTCAGCACCCTAGTAAATGTATAGAGAACAGTATGGAGAATATGAATACTGATGTAAGGGTGTAAAGTGTTGATTGTGCATTTTTCCTTCATTTATGGTAGCAGCAATTGCCATGAATTTATAACATTGAGAATTGTAATTGAATGCAGCTTACTATACTTAGAAACTTTCTCAGTTCATGTGTCAATCTTTTCTTCCTCAGCTGATGAATATACCATTAACTCAGGGGATAATTCATTAACACGATGTATGTCATCTGTCTTGCTTATGACAAAGAAGTTTGTTATGAGTGTCAGTCAAGTTAGTTTTGAGTATCGCGTAGACAGTCGAAACTGCAGGGGGCCTGGCTACTTAGGGTGCGATGGTTTGGCATTTTTTGTGGATAACAAGGAACTGCTGACATACAGTGGAAACAAATTCAATTGGGTCAACGTTACATACAATTTGACAAAGGTATGCAACTTGGAGATGACTTGAAAGTGGCAGTGAATTTCAGCGGACCTTACCGCCAGTGTCAGATTATTTTCAGGAACACTAAATGTAAAATACATTCTTTTTTAATTTCCAGGGAACTCATACACTTAAATGGGTCTATCGCAAAAGGTGCTTTAGTTTTGGAACATATTCCTACATAGACAAGGCCTTCATCCGATCCATAATGTTGGTAAGTTCTGTTATGATTCAGTGAAAATTGCACTTTTTAATTCATAACAATTTGTCGCATTTTCACGGTTTGTGAAAAGAGTCAAGAAGAATTAATGTTGTGCAGGATTTTATAGGCTTATTGTGGAGAGGAACATCCATGGGTGGTGCAATATTGCCCAATATTGCCCAATATTTTTTAATCACAAAATACCAGCATAGTAGTAACCGGTAGATTTCTTTAATGTGGTCATTTTCAGTATTTTTGTTTCAAATTGTTTCAAACCTTTTTAGGTGTTAATCAGTGCATTCAAAATTCCTTTTGCAAGTAGGAGTGAATATCCCAATATGCAAATATCAGTTACCTGGCCTGTATAATATATGTAAGATTGAAATTGAAAATCTAGACAATAATTTGATGAAATTCTCAGTATGCATTAACCAAACTACTTGGAAAGAAAGAAAAAACAATAAGAAGCATGAATGACAATGAATTAATTTACAATGCAAATTACAAATTTCCTAGTTCCTCATGAATGCTTGATTGACTTGCCCAATGAAATATGCTGCATGTCATTTGATGGGATTTGAAATCTTTTGGTTATTTCAATGGCATTTATCATGAGATATCAGTAATTAATTTTGTTTTTCAATGCAGGTTGGCAATGAAGAACCAGATGTGAGATGTAAGAAATGTCCACCAGGTTTTTTTGGTACTAAAAAAAATTCTGCAAGTTGTATGTCATGCTCATATTTCCAGTATCAAGATAAGGAAGGTGGGTTTATTTGATTGCATGCACCTGTCACTTAAAACAACTTTTTTTTTTTATCGTTGGTACTTTACCACACCAGACAGTGTTCTATGAAAATTATGCTCTCTCCAAAACTAAAATTTTTTAACTTAGTTTGCAGTGCACTTTTCTGCTTTTCAGCTGCCTCAGTTGTCTGTTTTCATATATTAAACAGAAGTAACATGAACATCATTCGTATTTAATGCACCAATGTAGCCTGTATAATCAAGGATGAGGGGTTAGGAATTATATATTTTGGGAAGATTTCCAAAGAATATAACCCTAGCACCTTTGTTGTCCAGAAAAAGTGATAAGTAATGATAGCACAAGCAGACAAGCACCCAGGTGTTAGTACAATGGTTGTGAATGACTTCTACCTCAGTCTGCCTTAAGTTGTAAAGGTTATTAAGGTGTGTACAGGTTCTGGAAACCTGGAAAATCCTGGAAAAAGACTACAGGCCCCGGAAAGTCCTTGAAATCTGCTTAACTTGAGAAGAATTGATTTTGAAATCTTGGAAATGAAAGGGTTTAAGGTGGAACTTTGAGTCTTGGAAAAATTGAACTGAGTCCTGGAAAAGTTCTGGAAAACCTTTTGAAAGTTGTTTCTGAAAAAGGTTATGAAACCTTGAATTACCTCTCACTCTGAGCCCTACCTTTTCTTATCACTTATTTCAGGCCAGAGCAGGTGCAAGACTTGTCCAGAAAACACATATGCTATGCCAGGTGCATCACGATGTATTCCTCTACTAAACTGCACTTCTGATGATATCATTGCTGCTCCAGGAGATGTGAATTCATGCTCATGTGAACCATCACCAAATGGTTTTGAGTGTAATACAACAGTGAAGCCTGAATATATCAAAGTTCATGGTAAGTTACATGAAGTACTTAACCCTTTTGTCCTAAGGAGTGATCAATGAGTTATATCTCCTTAGTTACAGTATCAGTGTATTGTTAAGTGGAAGAGTGACAAAGATACCGTTTGATTTAACATGTAATTCTCAGAGCTTACATTGAAAGGAATGGGTAGGAGACAGTAGAGAGAAATGATATCAACCTTTAAACTCCCAGAAGTAATTAACATGTAACTTCTCCCTATAATTTTCGCACATCGTCATGCATACAGGTAATGAGAATACTCATGGGTAGGAGACAGCAGAGAGAAATGATATCAACCTTAAGAGAGTGTCTCTGTATGAGCGGTCCGGTCGATTTTGCTTGTGACACGGATTTCGCTCATTTCTTGTGTGTTGTAAGACATACATGTACCTATTTAAACCACAATCCGTTTGATCGGATCTCTTTACTTTTCAGAGTTTTACGGAAATTAAATTTCACAAAAAACTACGGAACTTAGCAAAAAACAAATACCACAGCCATGTATATTAACTCTATCTTATTCATCAAGGTGACTTTCGTGAACATCACGTTTCAATCTAGGAAACAGGAAGACTTGAATGACACCTTATCGGTTCGCTTAAGTCACACACGCGAAAACCGATCAAATTCAAGGTAAATTTTTGAAGGTAAAAGGTAACTACAGAAAAAACTTTGCGGCCCTACCTTTACGAAAAGTTTATAACTCCGTGAACTCACCTAATTTTCGGCAGTCTCCAAGTGTGGCCGCCAATTAGAGGGACTTGTCAACATGAAGCATAGAAGGTATAAATCAAGCAGGTAGATCTAAAACCGTCAGAAATACATACGAAAGCAATTCAAATGAACTTTACTTTCAGTTCAAGTGGCAAAATTTGGAATTGTTCGTTAAACTTACCATTCCTACATCCCCATGCGACCATTTCTTCCAACAATTCAAACACTACAACTAGTGTTCGAATTCCCCTCGTCGATTCCACCGTAAGAAATAACCTGTACCACCCAAGCCTCGACTCGAATGTGAAGTACGAATCAAATCACATAACTGCTTCATCTTCGAGGCAATATCACTCTGGTATTTTGGATTTTCGGATCGACAAGAACGGTGATCAGGAAGCGATCGCCATGTTTACCTCTCATAAACGTGACCGCTGACCAGCCGCTGAGTGAAAACAGTATAGCGCGGGGTAGGGTGGGTGGCGGGCTTATCGTCAAAAGATATTCGAATACATACTTAAAAAGCTTTAGGACTCTCAGTCTAAACAGTGAGGGCATGCTTTCGTTTTCGTTTTTTATTTATTCTCATAACTTTCTCCTTTAAATTAGAACTGGTATTAATTAATAGAGTTATAAATATATAATCGAGGTACCCATATGACCTTGTTGCTTGTCATCTGTGGTATAAAATAAGGTGTCTTTTCCATCAGAACCTTTTATTTATGCCCTATTGCACGAAATGAACACTATACTTAGAATGTTTGTTCGAAGTCATTTCTTCTGTTCCCTAGAATGTATGCAAAATGATAGAGATTTGATTCATTCAGCTGACACGTTCTTTTAAGTTATGGCGCGTGCAGGTTTTTTTCTGTCAGGTAATTTGATCTTCTACAAAAACATTATTGATCATCAACCAAGCAACATTGTACATATTTCCATCTGCAATTAAAAGCACTTGCACATAGATCTATGTTTTTTCAACGTGATGTGTACTTAAGTAGCCTTAAACTAATAAAGAGTTTCTTCTCTTTTCGAGAAGATATGTCACGAGACAAAAATAGATAACAGAAAATGTTACTGAAGACTACCTGATTCAACTGGAATAATATCTCCAAATAGCTTTTGAATGTCCTGAGACATGCAAGGTAATTACATCTCTGCCTTGGATACGCTTCCTGACACCATCATGATCAGGATACTGAACTTGAAGTTACCTTTGCACTTCACCAAAACTTCCCCAAAGTGTGGCGATGCTTATAGCAAATCCACATTTTTTGTTTATCCTCCTGAGCGAGGTGAAATAGGCCAGTCCTTGCCAAGATTAGCTCATTTTCACTTAAGACCTCTTTAGACAGGTGGCAGCTTATCAAATGATGTTTTACTTCATCATTGCATTCAGACAGTCGTACCAAACCACTTAAGACACGCGATGAACCAAAGTTTTTTCTATCTTTGCTATTCAAACAGCAGTCCTGAGACATAATGAACGTCTCGCTAACGAATGACTTCTTCCTGTACTTGTAATTGTTTCCAACGCGATACAAGTTCGGGAGATCTAAAGGAACTCACTATAACTTTGTATACTCGATACGATTTCAATTTCCGCGCCAAAGGAGAAGCCTGCTGTAATTCGTGAGTGGTCAGTGGTTACGCTCGTGAGGTAAAGAATGGGTTTGTGACTTTTTCACTCAATTGAAAAGACTCGCGTCACTCTTATGAAATGGTTGAACGGAATACAGACTCCGAGCAGTCTCTGATTTTTCATAAAGATAGTGAGGTCACGCGTATCCTGTGAGCATGGAGAAGTCGCGAGACGCGAAACTCGTGTCTCGCGTCTTTGCCGCTCCATGTTCTAAGAGTTGGGCAAAGACAAGACACGTTACTTCTGATGCGATACAAGAGGTTCAATGGTTATCTCGATTATCTAGACATATTTATTTACATGGTAAAGATTTGTTTATAAATTTATGAATTGATGTCAGTCCTATTTGGAACGAAATGTATTTGAAAGAAGAAAGAATACTACGCAAAACAAAAGTTGTCTGCAACACGAAGATAGATAAGATAGAGTTAATATACATGGCTGTGGTATTTGTTTTTTGCTGAGTACCGTATTTTTTTGTAAATTGTCCTCTAAAGTTGTCCTAAATTAAAGCCTTGAAAAGTTTCACGACAAGCCTTCGCTCGAGTGAAATTTAATTTCCGTAAAACTCTGAAAAATAAAGAGATCAGATCAAACGGATTGTGGTTCTAGTATAGGTACATGAATGTCTTACAACACACAAGAAATGAGCGAAATCCGTGTCTCAAGCAACATCGACCGGACCGCTCTTACAGAGACACTCTCTTAAAACTCCTGGAGGTAATTAACATGTAACTTCTCCCTTTAATATTCGTACATCATCATGCATACAGGTAATGAGAATACTCAAACTTATCAGGTAGAAGTTATCTAGCTCTAACACCGAATTTTCACAACTAAGTTTCAAAGAAATATGTAGCAGCTAGAGGGGAGAAATGGCAGTAGAGTAAAAGTCTTGAGAGTAAAAGGGTTGAGGATGGTCCTAACATTAAAAATGAGCTTTAGATAGGTTTAAAATTGAGACCATATCAAATGAGATGACAGTGTTCACTTAGATGAAAATAACTGATTATGTTGTTGCTATCTTAATCCTTTACTTCCCATAAGTCACCAAGAGGGAACCTCTCCTTACAATATTAATACACTTTCAAGCAGAAAAGTGATGAGAATAAGGATAAATATTATTAGGGTATTATTAAATGATCCAATACCAAATTCTCCAGACCAACATCCTAACAATTGTATTGCAGCCAGTAATTTAAATGAGATTAACCTGAATGTGATCTTGGGAGCTAAAGGGCCCAGGGAGGTTATTATTTATCACAATACCCCTCTCCAGCTAGGAGGGTGAATGGGGTCTGGAAGACTGTTAGGGAAACCCGCAGTGGAGGCGGTGGCTGTGACCCTGGGTACAGTTGTTTGAATAATAACCCAGGGTCCAATTTTAATCTGGGTTTCTTTTTCTTTGAATTAATGAATAACTAAATTTACAATTTATTGAGCTTTAATTTCAAGCCTCTAAGGACCTCGCAATATGAAAGAGAGAGAAACTTATGTTTCACGTAAACTTCAAATGCTTGAAAATTCCAACCTGTAGTAGGCAGACAGGTCGGTTTTTTACACAGCACAGTGGAGGAGTTGAACTTAACCAAGCGCAAATCTAGTGAGTAGCCGGGTGAAAGACCGGTGACCACCAGATTACAAGTTCAGTGCCCCAACAACTCAGCTGTGCCACCTTCCAAGTATGGGTTAATGTTGGGTTAGGGGAGAGGCCTCCCTTGCTTTATCCGAAATCCTTTTCCTGATAACGTTCTCAATTGTTTTGAGAGCATCCAGTAATCAGATTGTTGAGAAAAAGAGTTAAACTGAAGTTTTTATTGAAGCTTTTTGATCTGAAATCATATTTTTCACACCAACTATGGTTTATCTTGACCCAGCTGCGAACAACCCACCCTTGCTTGCTTTGTGCTGTAGAAACCAGATTTAGCTCAAGGGCAAAGAGCTCCGGGATCAAAAGCACCCATAACTCAGAATCTGAGCAGCTGTGCGCATTTCTCTCCCCTAATCCATCATTAACCCCGACTTATCATCAGTTGAACGTTGTATGGTTAGGGAAGGGGTAGGTGCCTAGTTGCTCAGATACTGACATTGATGCATCTTTTTTATTCATTAACTTCCTTGTTGATTTTCAGTTGCAAATGTCAGCGATCCCAGGCGTCTTTGCGATTCAGCAGGGAATCCCAGTCTTGAACCAATTCGGTATCAATGTAAATGCGAGGGTGGGTTTGAGATCGTGAATGGAACCGGAGGAAAGCTGCAGTGCAAACCGTGTGAAACTGGGTTCAAGTCACGTGGAGTCAAATGCGAGACCTGTGAGGCCGGTCATGTGGCGTTGCCAGGGAAACATTACAGTGTCTGGAGAAAAGACACACTACCTGAGGGGTTCACCGCTAATTGTGTCGGGGATTGCGCTGTGAAGGTTTGTAAGAAAAATTTGGATGTAATAGATTTTTATAGGCGAAATTTGTTTTTGAACCATAATTTTTTCCACCACTTATAGCATTTTGAGACTCCAGGTAGTGACCTTATCTTTTGAAAATTGTTTTCAAATGCACATAAAAAATCGCTGCTATTTTGAAAACAGCTCGAAAACCTAAAAGCACCCGCGGCTCTGAAACAGCTGGTGCCCTACTGACCGCTTACCTATTACTGTACAAGCCCACGGCAACACGAAATCTATTTGTTTTTTATGTTAAAAGGCAAACTGTGGTAAGAACAAAAAAAATGGCACACAAGGCGTAGCCAAGTGTGTCGCTGATATTCTTGCCCATTTTCCACAAGTGACCAAAGCAGAATTTCTCCTTACAATATCAATACAATATCAAGCAGACAAGTAGCGAGAATAAAGAAATTTATCAATTAGGGGATTATTAGCTGATCCAATACCAAATTCTCCAAACTAACACCACAATAACTATATGACAGACAGTAAGGAGAATCGCCATCTTGTGACGGGGCCTTGTTCCTCATGTTATTTTTTAGAGTGGCTGGATACCTTCTGGTCATGTAATCCGAACAGCACGTGTTGTTGGAAATGTGCGTACTTATCTGCAGTCATCAGAATTTACTATGGACTCCGAGTTAGCGAAAATCGATTTTAACTGCTCCATCACCTGTAATGTGACTGGTGTTTCACAAAAATCTATGCCAGGGGAACATCTCGCTAACATCCAAGACTGTAACTTAGTATTTCAAGTTTGGAGTAACAACACGATTGTGGACGAACTAAACTGCACGCGTCCTAAGGGAAGATATGTCTACAGGCATGAAAATAAACGTGACGGCAGAGTTTTTAGACATGTTTACCCGCTCAAGAAAGGACGCTTTTCCTTCAGGTACACAAAAATGTCAGCTGTATATGCCACCGTCTATGGTATGTCATCGCACACCAGGCGAAACGCATACCCTCACCGAAATTCCACCTAGCCTTTTTTGTTTTTGTTAGTAGAATCAAATCTCTTTTCAATCCTAGTGGAGTCCAGTATGTCCGTGGTCAATATTTGACAAGACATTGATTTTAAGTTATTCAAGGAAACTCCTGCAAGATATTATTTCATCAAGTGCCGTCCTGATGTAAAGATTTGCGAACAGATCGTTGATTGCTTTTATATATCTCTCTCTCATTCTCCTAACGGTCTTTCCACAGATGGGTTTTCATCCAACAAGACGAGACACGAATGCTTTCCACTGCTTTTGAAGGAAAGCTCTACAATATCAGTGTACTTGGGGTGCAGAACGGAACAGCCAAGAACTGCACAGCATGCCCAGCAGGGTACCATAGTAACCAAGGCAACACTGATTGCACAATATGTCCAAACGGAACCAGTAGTCCAACTGGAGCAAAAAGTTGTATATCCTGCAAAGAAGGAACCTTTGCTGCTGCGGTAAGCTTTTTATCTTAAAACTAGCGCGTAGTGGCCTGACAGCAGTATAAGAGCGCATGCCCTCCCTGCTTGAGGCGATTCGCATTTTCGTCTCCAGTACCACGCGGTTTTACTCACCGTTTCAGACCATGTGACCAAACGAAACGAGGACCCGGGGAAGCAACTCTAGAATTTAGGTTGTTCCTGACTTTCTACATATATTTATCTCGGGCTTCCGAGCTGGACAACATGTATCCCCCAGGGGTTACGCTATCCAAAGGTTAAATTGCACTATCCTCCGGAGTGATACTTATTCGGTGGATAGCGCAATCCATCCTTAGACCAACTGGGACCGGGCTGTTTACCTCCAGAGAAGATGATAGCAAGAAGCCTTTCGGTAATTATGCTACTTACTAAGTTCATCTGAATATTACTCAAACGCTTAACTTAAATATTTCAACAGGTAACCATTAAAAAAATGTTTAGAAGATTAGGAGGATGTTAAGATACTTTGTCCAATCGAAAATCTTACCTGTTATACCAATTCTTCACTGAGAGGCAGGGACTGTGTCTTGCGGAGTCTTTTTTAAGTGACGATTTGTGTTCTTGGTAAATTGCAGAAGGGAAGTTCGCAGTGTCTTCCGTGCGGTCAAAACACGAAATCGTTTCCAGGTAAAGATGGCTGTGACACGAACAACTGTATGTTCAAGCCTGCGGATGATGTCGTGTATGACCTCAATAAACTCTCCCGCCCTGGAGGGCCGATGATTGAAGCACTGTTCTATCGCCCAAGTTTACCTTGGAGACCACGACGGTGAGCAATAATCCTCGTAATTTCCCCCTCCCCGCATCCATACCTCTACCTCTCTTCTTGATAAGAAAAATGAATTTTTCCACTCCTGTACAGCTTTCGTGTCATAAATTCCATTTGCTTTCAATTTTGACACTGATGACACTTTTTTTCCCCATGCGTGACACGTATCGCAACCAGCTTCACGCCGTGCTTTGTGCCAGTTATGTGGCTTCTTGCACTTGCCTTTTGCTAGAACGGTTGCAAATTTTCACGCAATCACCAATCACATTTTTCTTCAGGTCACACGATTCAACTCCCACCCCAACATGGTTTTAATTTTCATCTTATCCGTCTGGAATATGTGCTCTGGGTTTGCCTTTACTTCTGTACAAATCATTTGCTGAACTAAATTTTATCTTTTATCCTTAGTTTGAGTATTTGGCCTTACCCCAGAGCTATTTACTTCAATCTCTGTACCCTTGATCATGACAACTCTTCGTGTGTTTACCGTAATCGGTTAAACAGAGTGCACACTCCCCGGCCTGTGATGTCGTGCAGGTCGTCGTGGTTTACATATGACACAGATTTAGGCTCCGTGATTGGCTACCGAAAAAAATCCGACGTCAAATCGGGTTTGTTCGTGGACCTGCTGAACGGGGACAAATGTTACCAGAGAGGTAAGTTAATTTATATAAGAAATTTTAAAGAAAAGAAACGATTACTAAAAAAACCATAACTTTGATAAAAGAATGTGGAAAGATAAAGGATTTTTGCTAATACATGGTTGGGAAGTTTTCAATGTAGTGAAACCATTTCCTGTTTCTATGTTTTCCTTTCTAGCCGGAAACACGCGCTATCAGACCACCCTCGACCTCAGGTGTGACGTAAGAGCGGGTGTCGGTAACCCAGCCCCCGAAAACAATTACACGAGCCCGATGCGCGGTGGCTGTAAATTCTACTTCGTGTGGAAGTCGTTGTACGCATGCCCAAAATGCCGTGACAGTGATGTGAATAGAATTATCGGCGAATGCATCAACGGAATGCGTAATGTGACCTACGTACGCAAAGTGCCTTGCTGGAGGCCTGGGAATGATTCGGGGCTTCCAACGACTAATGCAACAGAAAAATGCGAGACACCGACGTCGACTGTTATAGTAACTGTCAAAGTGAAGGAAAATGGTACAGTGGCGTATCAAGTACTAAAAGAAAACAAAGCCAATATAGCTTTGATTGGTGTAGGAGTCGTCATTATCGTTATCCTGGTGGGTGTGGCAGCATTCTTTGTGTACAAGCATCGAGCGTTGAAGTATCGTTATTACGGCATGTTGGCGAGAAACAAACCCATGAGCCGCCTTGAGGAAGAAGACGAAAGTAATTTTATCCACGACGATGAGCTAGCACAACCCTTCGATGAGATGTCACCAAGTGTGAAGACCTAGACAACTTCGTATATTCATCCCTTTAGCCCACTCCATGACTGAAAGTTTACTTTTTTTTGAATGCAGTGTTATTTTGACGCTGAGTCACTTAGACTGGTTTTTCCCTCTTAATTAGTGTGCTCAAGAAACCATATAATTTTCACCTCTGCCTTTAAAATCTCCACCTGGCTACGGGCAAAACTACTCTGGTTATCGCAACAAACCATTTTTTAATTCAAGCAGGTCTTTTTCTGAAACTTCTTATTGTTAAAACATATCGCCAAGAGATGGATCAAAGGGAAAAGAGGCTTAATTACGTCATGGATGAGCGGCCAAGCTGTTAAGCACGATTCAAAATGGCGACGGTCAGTCGTGTAATTTCATCTCAAGTTTTTAATGGCGGATATGAAAATTATATCGTATCTGAAGTATGTTCCTTCATTAATGAAAAAGACAAGCTCAAGATTTATATGGGTGGGTAGTGGCCGAGGGACAAAAGTTTCAATAACTTTTCCCATAAGCGGCTGCCGATGAAATAATGTTAAAGGTGGGTTTGCCCGAAAAGGAGCCGTAAGGGGGATCCTAAGGATAAGGAGACAGCGGTAGACCGTCTACAGTCAGCGGTAGACCGCTGGTAACCGGCCTTTATTGAATCTCTGGTGAAAGAAGAAAGAAAAATTGAGAGTTAGCCTTAATTGTTTAATGTGAGCACAACTCTTATAATACCCTTTTGAAAATATGGATGAATTTTATGATTGTGATCAAGTACTTGTGAAAAACAAACTGGTTTAACCTCTTCGCTCAAAGTTAGCAGTTGTACATGTCAAATTGTACAGTATATATGGCTCCTGCCTGCGAAGTTACAGAGATAAGACCGATATATGATATCGTCGTTCGCACTTGTTGTCATAACAACATCAGCGACACACTAGCCCCCGCCTTGAATGTCTCGTTTTTTGTTCTTTCAACAGATGTATCACCATGCTATGTATTTCCAACTAGATTGCAAATTCATCGCTCAATAAAGATGAAAACTTGCTTTTTTTTGCTAGCCAACTTTTACTCGGTTTTTTATGACGCATATATAGGAACAAAGTTCAAGGAATCTAGTAATTGGTGTATGATCTTTTATTTTATCGTGTTGTTTTATTTCTTACTCTGTAACACAGTTTAAATTAAGTTTTATCTTGCTTGTTTTGCCTTTCAAACTTTTCAACGTAGTTGGGTTTTTTTAAGTAGACAGAATTTTCTGTTTTGCATTGAAAATAGAGTAAATTTTGTTTTTATTTGAGAGTAAAGAAAGACATCTCATTTAACGTATCCTTGTGAAATAACTCTGATCTTTCGGTGTTTTTTGTGATTGGATTGGATAAATGACTTTAAAAGTTAATCAGTGGAATTCTTTGATATAATTTTAGCTGTAATTTTATGAATTGAAAGTGATGTAGATAGCAAACGTCTTAGTCTGATTTTTTATTCGGTGCAAAATTCTGTTTTCTTTGAGCTCTTTTTGTGATAAGACCAAATACTGCTGTACGTGTTATTAGGTTTAAAACACCGAAAAATGCTGAATTTTATCACCATAAAAGTTAATCAACGACTTGTACATCTTTTAATAGTGAGATCTAATGGCGTGTCAAGTTGGATTCTATGTGTTCAGACCTTTTTTTAAGTTAAGGAAAACTTGTATTAATAAAGTATTAATGTATCAATGATTTAGAATTCCTTTCGCCGACTGTAAGTTATAGTTGTTTATTTGTGTGGAAGAGATTTTCAATCACCGTATTTAGTTCCTCTCGTTAAATGTTTGATTAAACTTGAAGTAGAAATATTTAAAATGGCCTACGTCCACACGAACCTGTTTGCGTTTGTATATGCGTCAATATTTTTCTTTTCTCTGGTAACAGTCCGATTCACTCTCAGAAAGAATTTGTTATGCTCCCTTACGACTGCAATACCATACTTTGTTGACTCTTTAATCCTTATGAGTGACTAGCAGCTAATTTCTCCCTACAATATCAGCCCTGAATCACACGTGAAGGTCACGAGAATAAAGGAGATGATCGCGAATTGAAGAAACTTGATTGTTAAGAATATTCTCCTTGTTAGCGGCTAAGGAAATATATAGAGAACAGTATGGAGAATATGCATACTGATGAAAGGTTAAAAGGAGTCAGTTTGTGTTATCGACAGGATTAGGACTTGCTAAACAACCGCCATACTGCAAAAAGAAGACCAGCTGTAAGAAGAACAATTTCGAACAGATACAAATGGAGGGTTAGTTACGCAAGCGTTGGCAAATTTGTTTGTTAATGCGCTCCTCAATGGAAAACATCGATAGAGACAATAATGCTTTTATGAACTAATTCACTCCAGGTATCTACCACTGTTATAGACATAGGCTTTCACTCAACAAAACAAGCACTGTGATTGGTTGATTCTTGGTCACGTGCCCCTGATTAAATTCAAGTGTATCCCGAATTTCTTTCCACATCGCGAAGGTGTTCTCGGAATCGGTCACCCAGTCGTCTACCTGTTTCGCCGATGTATAACTTATTGCAATAAGTACAAGTTATGCAGTAAATAACATTGGCGGAGGTACACGTAAAGTGATCAATGATCTTAATGGATCTTTTGGGTCCCGATATTTTCTCTACGTTATGAATGAAAGGACAAGTTTTGCATCGTGAGCGAGCGCATTTAAAAGTTCCAGATTGGTCTTTGGTTTGACATGAACTCCTGACTAAAAAGTTGCCTATGTTTTTGTCACGTTTGAATGAAATAAGTGGGGGTTGCGAAAAGATAGTGCCAGCCAACACTTTAATCTTCCTTATCATTCTAAACAGCATATGGCAGTTTGCAGCCTTTCCTTACATCTAGGCAGTTCGGAAAGCCGTAAAACACTAGAACAAAAATTTATATTCCAAATCGGCACCCTTAATCCCCACGGAATCAACGAGCGCTTTTCATTCCACTAATTTATTCCTGTTTTCTCGTCACCATATTCCCACCAATGGCGTAGCTCCACTTTCTAAATATAAATCCACACACAACCCACAATTCCTCTAATCGCTCTGACGAAGGGCTAACGCTCGAAACGTCAGCTTTTTTACCCTTTACGGTGGCTAATTTACGTTTTCAACCCAGTTGTTAACACTAAATTACCTCTTGAGGAAAGCTTGCCGGCCAGGGTAAAAATTTACTTGGAAACTTTCTCAGTGGACTAACTTACACTGCAGTAGTAATATAAGTTCATAACGAATTTCCTTAAAAATTCGAGAAGTGGCCTCTGAATGTTTAGGCAAAGGAACTTGCCAAATGAAAAACTATGGTATCTTTTCAGTATAGATTTCCAGCAGAAACTTTTCAATGTTTGAAAGAAATTATAGGTGGAAATAACGTCTACTGCCACAGTGGTTGTATTTTCACCGCCAGGAAAGAAAATTAAAGAGGAATATTGTGCAAAAAAATGTTTCTTGAGCCTTGTTTCCGAAAGGGATAGTAAAATGATGACAGGGTGTCTCAATTTTTCTAAGTTTGAGGAATTCGCAGTTTGTTACTTTCTCTACACGATGCTCTCAACTGCTTATGGTCTTCATGGTACGTGATCATGCCGTTGGAAAACAAGTTCTTGAGTGTATCGCCTAATATTTGATATGTAATATCCAAAATATAAGATTGTTACTTCTGATACTTTATAACATACGGCCTAACATAAGCTATCGACCAAAAATTAGTACGATAGCCACCTGTTGCTACAGGTGACTCATAATATCCCCTTGTGTCTGTTGTTTCAAATCCTGGCAGTTGATTGGCTGATAAGAATTCTGATAATGACTTGGAGTTTATATTTACACGCCGCGCGAAATGGAGTCATCTTTGTTTTAATATCAGGAATAACGAAAATGAGATACAAAAACAACACCCTTTGAGCAAGACGGCTTTACAGCGCAGAGAAATTATCGCCTGGTTAACGGTAATTTTTCTGTTGGAGCTTTGTGATAGCTGAAGCGAACTTTCGCCCAAAGTGGAGAAAACCATTTGAGTGGATATTTTTCTTGCTTATTCCTTTGGAACTGCATTGGGTTTTGCCTACGATGCCTCGATGTGCCATTGTCAATTAATTCCTATTCAATATCTTCGAAAAAACAATTCTTTATTCAATAGTTTCGGATTTCATTCACACACTCTTTTCAGGGCCTCTAAAGAAGACTTAATCAACAACCGACGTTAAAGTGCAGGAGCTGAACATCGTTCGCTACGCTCTAAGCAGGGAATTTGTTCGCTCATAGAACAGTGCGTTTTGGAAAAGTTCCTTACAAACTTGCCATGACCGGGCGCGGATTCGGCTTGGAGGAGTTCAGCGATGAACAGTTTCTTGTCGGCGGAGTTACACTTCTGTTTACAGGACTGATCGGTTTTTTTGGTAACCTGCTTGTTTTGATTGTCACATACAGAATTCTTCGGCACAAGAGAAACATTCCTAATGTACTAATACTATTTTTAGCCTGGACAGACCTGTTAGTATTTCCTTTAGCGTATCCGCAATCACTGATAAAGTATTTCTTCGGAGTCTACATCGGTGACTATATGGGTTGCGATTTTCAAGCAACAGCTATCACATTTCTCTTCATGTCTTCCATTATTCTGGTTGTTGTAATGAGCGTCGATCGCCTTCTGGCATTAAGTGAACCATTTTACTATGACAGGCATGTGATTTACGACAAGGAGAAAGTGAAGGTGGCTTCTATCGGCGTCGGATGCTCGGTTCTTACTGTAAGTTTACTTCCCGCCTTTGGAGTCAGCAGAAATGTTCTTCACTTTCCTGGCACATTCTGTTTATTTGAATGGAACTCGACCTCATTTGATGGCCGAGCGCTGCTTTACATTTTTATGTCTTCGTTAGCTTTTGCTATGTTTCTGGTCGTTTCGTGTAATTTAACTACAGTTATAATGGCTTTGAGACTCGCGCGTCGAAGACAGGATAGCATAAATAAGCCTCGTTCTGATGAAGAGGCGGCGAACTCAAGGCCTTTAGATCATCACTGCAGCTCTGGAAAAATGGAAATTCAGTTCGCTAAATTAAGTGGTGCTGTCGCCATTACTTTTTTTAGTTGCTGGAGTTTGTTTCTGGTAAGTAAACCCACCTGCCGTGACGTCTGAGTGAGAGATTCCTTTCCGTGCATGAAACTCCTAGACGACTCACTTTGAATTGTATCAGTTCAACGCTACAATTTACACTTCGGCTCGACAACCACACACACTGCGACGGAACAGTGCGATCGTGGCACGACTAGAAAACAAGTGATGGACCATCCAGTAACGCGTCATCACGACGATCACACGACAACAGTTCGATTTAACTGCAGACCGCGACAACTACTTTGATAACGCTGAAATATGACCATGATACGAATGAAACGCGATTACAAATCGACCACGACTCGATTTATTCGTTACGACTGTATATAAGACGACTTGACTACGGCTCCACCGCGACACGACGACATTATGGTCACACCTTACCCTCACTACTGGTAGTATCGGTGATATCGTACCCACCGGTGATATCGTACCCGCGGCCGTTTCGTACCCAAAAAGAAGTCGATTCGTTCCTAAGTTTGAGTCGGTTCGTACCCAACTTTGGGTAGGTTCGTAACCAAACCAAACCGCCAGTTAATACCAAACCGCTAATAACCGGAGTCATACATTTATTCGAAATACCTCACGCACGGACGTACGCGTGAACAGATGTCAATAGTTGCGCACGACAAGTTGGCAGAGTCAAGCAAGTAAATTACAAAGAAACTTCTGTTCTGTATACTTGTGACCTTCTTCACAAATAAAACTTAATTATTGCCTAGTTGAGCGTGATATTTTTAATAGAAAAGCATATTGTTTTTACCAGTGACTTTTTAACATAACAGTTCGTGTAAGTGCGATACATTTTCTCCAATTGTTTATATGGAAAACATCCTTTGTTGGTTTGGTTACGAAACGCAACGACCGAGCTGGATACGAAACGATTGGGTACGAATCGACCGGTAACCATACTCCTTATGCGTTAAACCGATCACTGGGTCCTTCCAATTCTTTCTCCTTTTTTTTCTTTTAAATGTCTTCATTTAAGAACTCCTCCTTCCTTTTTTCAGTACTTTTTGCTCGCAAGGACAGATTTTTACATATTTATTTTTGATATTTTCTAGTTAAGGGTGACGCTTATCCAAAATGGCTGGCCATTTGAGGAGTTGATCGACTTCATTGCGGTGCGGCTGGCTTCCCTTCACACAGTTGTCAACCCTTGGCTTTATCCTTTGACTAGGAGGAAATATCGCGATGCATTCTGGTACTTACTGACGTTGTTTGTGTACTATGCCACCTGTACACTACTGGTAACCAGGCCTGGTACCACCTTGGGTAAGTAAGGGGAGAGGGGAAGGGAGACATACCACCACAACACGTAACAGAATGATGTGGCAGTGTCACACCAATTGGACTTGACGGAGGGTTTACGTTTCAGAGTTCCAGTTTTGTAAGGAAATGTGTACAGTTTTTTATAACTTACTTTGATAAAAAAAAGCAATTTTTCCTAGAGGGCCCTTGTTTTGAAACAGTGGTGCCAATTATACAGTGGAGATAGCGTAGGTGTAAGCTTAAATGAAAGGGAAATGTTTCTTTAAAAAAAAGACATTACTGGGACAAAGTAAAAAAAAAAGAAGTACACATATCTACACGCAGAGAATCAGTGAAGAGTAATCGTTTCAGTCTTGATTCAAAATTATAAATTTGATTCCGTTTTTAGGTGTGTCCTTCTACCTTTTACATCCTAACATGAGTATGCAAGTTCTCCATTCTGTTCTCTTTGCATTTCCCATCTTACTTACAAGGAGAATTTGTCTAACAATCGAGAGTTTCTCCATCGAGTTTGCGATCATTTCCTTCATTGTCATGACCTTAATGCATGTTACAGGGGTGATACTTTAAGGAGATATTAATTCAATACTAGCTACTCTTAAAGGTCCAAGGGATAAGACATCACGATTTGGCGCCTCCTCGTCTCCGGTTTCCCGTAATACTGATAATTTTTCCCTCACGCTAATTTTTTGGTCGTTGTTCATTCGACGTACTTAGCTGAATAACAGGGACTTCTTTCAACATAAAAAAACAATTTGTAATAGAGTTTTCTTTTAACAGATGAAATAGTTGGTATTCAGTCTGAAGCAAGTCAGGTCCGTGAACTCTACCGAGAGGAGCGACGACGATCAAGTGCCCAGCGGCTTGTCAAATAAAACGAGCATATCGAGTTGCATGTCAAACTCGTCACTGGGTCTGATGGGTGTTTAAATCACGATTGGTGTATGCTAAATGGGCAGAGCACGGTATGGCAAATCTTAATTCCTACAGTCTCCATTCCTGTCACAACTCTGCCCAGAGTAGCGACGACGATCAAATGCTCAGCTCAGCGGCCGGTCAAAAAGCAGAATGTTTTTCGGGTTAAAAACAGCGATAAAGAAAGTTTACTCGAGGTCACTCAAGTGCGTAGTTCACATAATGATTTTCTGAGCAACTGTCTAACATAACAATAAACTATCGGCCATTGAGTTCCATCTGAAATCGGATCGATTTCTGGTTTTTGAACCCAACAATCAAGGAAATTTCTTTTCAGATGATTTACAAGCATATCGAATATTAGATGTTTCGCACATGTGCATGCAGACTGTGCCTTCTGAAGGTGGTAGCGTTAGGGCGATTGTGATAAATAGCCTGGGGTAGATAGCCTGAAAATTTCATTTAATTACTGAACGCTTTTCGCATCTCTTCTAAGACAACAGAAAGGGAAACAAAAAAGAACAAAAAGAGAAGACAAGGGAAACTACGATCATTATTTTCTGAGAATACGCTGCATTCTATCTTGTCAACTTTCCAAGAATATGGACAAAATTGAAAAAGGTTGACTGTGAACACAGAGGAAGAACTGAAGTGTACATTAAAAAGAAATTCAAGTAGAAAAAATCGCTAGTCTTTAGTAGATTATTTTAAATACCTGTAAATCAAAATATAATTAAACTAAATATTTAGGTTAAAAGCCTGCGGGGCCTCGGCAAGGGAGGGGGGAGGGGCTGATGGGTGGGGTGGAGATCACTTACAGAACAGGTAGATACCACCAAACAAGGTATGGTTTTCGAGATCTTGAGTTACCCTAAGCGACCTAACCCTCACCATATTTTACTTGTTAGCCTTTTCAACGGGGTGTGTTATGGACCGAATCCGGAAGCATTTAATGAGGCGAGATTTGTTAGAGCAAACTTTAAATATTGTTCCCTTTAGGGGAGGTGAGGGTAAAGGTTTGCACAGTCTCAGGAATATGATTAGTTCCTTCTTGACATCATGGCCAATATACGCCCCCTCCTTCTTCTCTCTAATCCACATCCTCGCTTCCTTTAAGTACAACAATATGTGACAAATTTGTTGACACATTGATCTTTTCAACCCCCTATTAACTTAATTTTATCTCTTTTGCCCTTTGACCACGCATGTTAAAAGTAGCACCTTGTACGGTCGCACAGTCGTACGGTCGTACATCCAAATTTTTTCGGCTTGATGGGTTACTACTATTTTGTATGATTATGGGGCTACGTTCTGCGAGCTCCGCTACTATGTCTAATAATGTTACACCACACAGCATAACGAACACGGTAAGGATGTTGTAAAGCTCAAATCGCAAAAAGGAAGATTCAGACTCAGAATCAAAATTAGACGTTCTTATTGGGAAAAGTGAGTGTAATCGAAAGAGTAAATTCAATATTTAAGGATAAAATGTAGAAAAGACAAAAAATAGCCTTTGATCTCAAAAGGAAATGAACTTTATTGACAATTGTGAATAGTTCATGACTAAAATTTTCTCTCACTCTTTTCAAGTTTCTCTTCATAGACGTGATAATTTAAAATTAATTCAGTGACATGTTCTCCATAAGCTTTTTCATCTTATAGTCTATTATTTTAATGATCACATTTATTCTGTGACAAGATTTAATTATATATAAATGAATAAGTGGCTGAGAACCGTTCACTTTAGAATTGATTTAAATTGGGCCAGTATTCCTTACACCCATCGATTAAGTCTTGCAAAATAATGTTGTTAATAGAATGGTACAACTTGACAAAAGTTGAATAAAAAATGGTTAATTTTCTATTTTTTTGGGAGTTTCTCTTCATAGTCACAAGAATTTAAAGGCAATCATGAGTAATATGTTCTCCATTATTTTTTTTTTCCAAGTTTTAATGATCTCAGTCATGTTGGAACAAGACTGAATCAATCACAAATAAATGAATACCTGGTTATGATAACAGTGGACTTGGAATTTATTTAAATTTGGACAGTATTCCATCAATTTAGCCTTGCAAAATGACCTTATTAAAAGTCTAGTGCAACTTGCTCAATGTTGAATAAAAAAAAGGTAGTTTACATTTTTTCTATAAAAGACATCAATAATAAAAGTAACAATTTCTGTTCATAAACTGTCCATAGTTTGACAAGCCTACTATCCTTCTTGAGGAGCGCATTCTGAGTAAATGTCTACTATCTTGAGATGACAGCACTTTAGTGAACCAATATTTCTTCCAAACAAAACCACATTGATCAAATTCTATTTCACTGTGTAATATACCATGCTATATAAATATATTTTGCAAGTAAAAATTAACTTACTTGAACTTCCATATACTAACTAATTAAATATCTAGTTATCTGAAATGATTTCAGTCATCAATAATTATTAATGTGTACTTTGCAATCAAGTTGGTGAACAACATTCCAAACCTTGAATGTTAGATGAACTTAAAAGCAATCCAATCAAATTGAACAACACATTTTTAAATAGTGCTCTTTCAATAATAATAATAATAATAATAATAATAACTAAACCCCAATGCAGAGTATAAATGAAGTGTAATAGTAAAACTATGTCAAAAAGTTATTTTTCTAATACTATCCATACCTCTTACAAACTAGTTCTGAGTCTGTCTTGTAAATTATGAGCTAAGTTTTTATTCCACTCAAATTAATAGCCCAAGCACACAGCATGGGCATAAATCAGAGTGCAAAAAAAGAGGTTCTGTAAGTTACAGTATGAACTAAGAAAACAAATTTAGTGAGATATGAATTATATCTCGGGATTCAAATAGAGGGGGGGGAATTTCAATTCAAACCAAGTTCTGAATTGAGGGGACTGCACAGTGAAATATTGCAGGCTAACTGACCAAAAATAGTGCACCTACTAACTGGTAGATACAATAAATCTATTATTTGCCTACTCAAAGATCAAAGTCTGATATTCCCAAATCATAGATATGTCCATATTGCCGCATTCTGCAATGATTTTTGACACAAAAAGAGACAATGCCATAACTCATCAGCAGAAAAACAACAAATGAAATTACAGAAAGTACAATAAGTGCTGTGACATCCTGTTTAACTTCTTGTGGAGTTATTTTCAGGAGCTGCTTAACTGCTAATAAGGAGCCATTGTTTGATGAAGGCTCAATTCCAAGTATGTGGCACATTAGGGGATAAATGTGAACATTTTCAAAGGGTTCAGAGATAAAGTTTGATTTGAATGCAGGTCCTTGAGCAAGGAAAAAAGGATGCATGTCTGAATACTTGTTACTGTAACCATGGTTTCCATGAGTATTTATTTCTGATATGGACCTGGTAATTATCCACTGATCATCCGCAACAATAAAAATTGGCATGACCCGTCTGTTGTGTTTGTAATGGAACTCTTCCGGAATTTCTTTCTTGAGGTAAACATTAAGATGTGGAATAACTTTGAGCTTTTTGTACGTCTTGTCTAACATGCCATCCTTGGGTAAAACATGGAAATAAACATCCTTTGGTCGGACTGATTTTCCAGGCCAGGCCACAAGAGTGTACCAGTCAGATGGTAAAAACTTGTCTAATTCAATGATGCGAGAACTGTTCAGTTCGGCCATTCCATGATCACTGGTGATAATCAAGTTGACCTTAAGGAGAAAGTATTTATTCATCTTAGTGTGTTAACTATTTAACTATTCAAAGCTTAACAATGGTTAGCATCTTATTTCTCCTAAAAAGAAATACTGCTGAGTCATTCATTCAGATCATGAGGATAAAGGAAATGATCACCACCCTAAGAAGCTTTGATTGTTAAACAAATTCTCCTTGTCAGTATCATAGGAAATGTAGAGATAATTATGGAGAATATGGGTACTAATATTCAGGTTTGAAGGGTCAAGCAATTATATCACTTATTGTTGATAATGTAACTTCTCCTTAAAATGTCAATAAGTTATCTAGCAATTTTTTGAAGAGAATATATCACATTATCAGTGAAAATATTTAAAATGATACATCACCAAATTCTCTTCACTAATTTGATAGAAAATGTGGCAACAAGACAGGAGAATGTAGTGATCAGATCCTGGGAATAAGTGATGGCAATGGAACTGAGTGGACACAACTCAAGGTGTTAACCAGCAACTAATTTGAAATTGGCCAATATAGTTGGCTATAACCAATCTGGTATCCAGTAGGTTTGAATGAAATAATTGTTTTATTAAATTTCATTAAATACTAAACATATGGATATTTGGAGCCTTTTTTTCTGTGCGACAATATGCATTTCCATGTAGGGTGACTTGAAATAGTTGCCGATAACCAGATTTGAATAAGTGAATCAGAACACTAGAAATGTCATATTCAGAGTTGAAAATTTAGTAACTATGCATGCTTGTCATTGGCTGTTTAACTATCGGATTTCACCATTTCCAGGGTTCTTGTAATCACAAAGGTAAAAACAGACAGTTTGGCTGCAGGAGCAATTGCTAAATTAAGGGCCTGTTTACATGGAGATGGGGGACCCCAGGTAGGTGAGGTAACCCACCTAGCCGTGTTCAAAAAATAAAACACATTTACATACAATCTTACAACCCTGGGGTGCTGGAGTGAGGTTTCTTGAGGTTGTTGTTGCGCTTGCAATTAAGGAGTTTGAGCAGAGGCATCCTGAGCTCACATCTTGAGAAAGATGAAAGATTAATTCTCAGACACATATTTATTTATTCATGAAAGTGTCACGCATTGTGTTACCGGTGTTAGGTTATGCGAGGAAACGTTGACTTAATATGTTATACTGAATAGTCTGGGAAACAAAATATGGTCATTTTACAATGCTAAATATTCCAAAATGTGAACATTTAACAGTCCTTGTGTGTCCATTGTGGTTTCTGGTGATTTCTGCCATGAGACAGCTAGGAAATGTACAAAGTTTTAAAACATACATGTTTTTGCTTTTGAGCTTTTTGCCATGAACGCAACCCCAGCTAGGCAGGTTACCCCACCTTGAGACATTTACATGGCAGATTATCACCACGGTTCACAGGGTTACCCTACCTAGCAGACTGGGCAACCTGCCTAGATTGTAAACGTGATCAAGATGAAATAAGAAATGATATGGAAAGGCGGGTTACCCCACCTAGGCAGGTTACCTCACCTACCTGGGGTCCCCCACCTCCACGTAAACAGGCCCTAAGGCAATTTAAGGGCACAGTAGACCTTCAAGTCCCAATTTTCTTTTAATTTCTTTTTTAATTCAAGTGCCAATTTTCTTTTTTTTTTTTTTAATTCAAACTAAGCATTACTATTTAAAACACAATCTGCAAAAATAATTTGGGAAAGATTTCGGCATAGAAAAAGCCATCCATTGTTTTTGTTCTCTTTATCCCAGAATTGTATATTTATGAATATGTATGACTACAAGTTAAATTATTGAAACGCGCGCGAGTTATTTACAAAAATGTCTTTTCGAACTGAATTTTTAGCCCACCACAGTGTCAATAGTCAATTACAACATGATGAAATAAATGACTATCGAGATTTTCGCTGGAGACTACAGTTATATGATCTTGTTTATCAAAGAAATCAGTAAAATCAAAACAGTCGCTTGAGTTATCGACTTGATGCTTGAACCGAACGTTTAAACCAAAAATTTCAGTGCCGTGATGTATTCGCAATAATTTCTCAAAACAAATATTAGTAAGCCCAACAGCAGCACTACGTAATATGGGTAAACAAGGAAGTTCATTAGTACAATGCACGCGAAACCTTACCTGATCCAACAAACCTCGATTTTGCAAACTTTTCAATAGATATCCAGTAACGTTGTCTACCCTGCGTATAACTTTATGGAGCTCTGGTGAATTTGGGCCAACTTGATGGCCAGTATGGTCTGGCTCGTTAAAATAAGCAGCGAGAAAACTAGGAGGGTCATTTCCTTCTAGTTGATCGAGCAGGTACTGCACTCTTTTCTTGAAAGGAAGTTTGTTGTTGTACTTTAAAAAATGTGTAGGCGTTTGCCCTTTTACTTCCGAACCTGGCCAGAAAACAACGGCGCTTTTTTTAAAGGCCTTCTGATTCGTTATCCAAACAGGTTCGCCATTCCACCATTTGATATCCAAGAAAGAAGGCGAACCAATATGAAAGGTTTCGTTGAAAACAGGATCGTACATGTTATTCCCGAGGATTCCATGGCTCTCTTCGTACAACCCTGTCACAATCGTATAATGATTAGGAAATGTCTTAGTGACAAAAGTATTAATAATGTGTTTAGCCTTTACTCCATTTCGTACGATGGAATCGAAATTCGGAGTTGGAACTTTGTCAAGGTAGTCCCAACGGAATCCGTCGAAAGAAATCAGAATTACGGTCGGTTGCGTGAGCGTTATCTTCTGGTTCACTGAGGCAAATGCTTCTTGACTAGGTACAAATAAAAATAAAATAAAAACGTGAAAACGTCCAAATTTCATGACATCGAAAAAGGCAGAATGACCGAGTTGTTACATTCCCAGTTCCAATAAGTTGTTTCCGGAGATGGCAGCTGTTGGCTTCGGCTCGCTAAGGAGTCTGGTAGTTTATCCCGAGCTACCGCTGACCCCATGCACCTTAATTAGTAAGGCCTTATGTTTGCTCTGGTATGTTGGTACTTAGTGGGTCAGGTGGGTTTCCCGGTAAAGAGTTGATACCTGGCTAGGAATAGACAGCCCAAACGGTCTCGGTTGCTCGAGTTTGTTTCCATTGAGAAGAGAGCCCGGCATAGATAACCGACCCACAAGTTGAATTGAGCAACTGTGCAAAAGCGCGCGAATTGTGTTTGTCTTAATCACATGAAATTAGATACTCGAGATGGCTGGCTAAAACAGAGGACTCGGAAAAAATCCCACTTTTCATAATTTTCACAGCATTGTAAATTTCTCAGAATCATCTCTTTGAAGAACCTTTATAGACACTATTATGGCAATGTTAAAGATAATATGCAACAAAACAACTTGCACAGCAATAGAAAATACTTTCGTCTCCTTCGCGGTCCTGCCTTGAGTTGTCATTCAAGAACCTCCTTCAATAGAAGCGTTGATTGTGAGCGTTGCGTGATATGACAAAGGGCCAATTCACGGGAGACTGAGCCAAGTGGAGCCAATAATATATTTTTTCAAGTACAGCTGGTTTCACAAAGGATAGATTTATTACAAACCAAGAGAGGATCCTTCTTGGTGTATATAAATTCCTGAATTTCACAAGTTGCGTACGGCAAGACACTTGTTTCGCATAAAAATATTTTACCTGAGGTTACAGATTCTTAATTCTCGCCAAGGTGTTAATTAAATAATGATACGATTTGAAATTAACTTAGATTCATACTTACGTAATCTATGCAAAAATAGGGTCAAACTTTGTCTAAAAAAATTTTGATGAGCCAAACTCGTTCCCAAGCTCCCTCCTGTCGTTTCAAAGAGGAGCACTTTGGAAACGAGTTACATATAAATAATTTATGTAAAATTCTTAAGATATTGAAAATTTTTGTAATTTTGTGTTAATAAATTTGACATGTAAAAAGCCACTTACATTACAGTTATCATTATCCCAAGTTTCTCTCACAAGAATTATTATAATTATTATAAATTTGTGAATAGCTAAGAAGCATATCAACAATTTACTTCAAATGTAAATGAATACTGATTTTCGGGGGATAATTGGACTATCACTATGCACATGCTCAATGTTCCGTCTAACTCGCCCCTAGTCGTCCCCAAAATGCACGCGGCACTTGGGTGAGACAAAAAGGGTGACAAGAAATGGGAAGAGACTTCTTCCTCTTTCGTTTTCTCCCTATCAATCACACTTCGTGCTCTTATCCTGCCCGTGTAGCCTGCTTTAAGAAGGACTGGGGATGAGTCAGATGTCGGAAATAGGAGCAGGGAAGGGGGCCTAGGGGGAGGGAATGCTCTTTAGGTCTCTAAGTCATCCCCTCTGTTGTGGTCTCTTCTCCATGAACAGAAGCGTTTCTCAAGCTCTCTGTTTGTTCTGCATCCAATCTCCTGGAGATGAAAAGCATAAAAACATTAAAATGATATTTAACTTTGCACTTTCTCTCGATCCTTGTCCAAGGCAAAGACTAACAAGTCTAAAGTGTCTTTGTCCCCTCCTTCACCTTGGTGCCAGTGAAAGTTCTCGATCTTCCCCTTTTCACAACTCTTCATTCCACTTCAACGAATGATTGTTCAGATAACGTCAGAAAACAGCGCGTTTATGAGTTAATGAGTATTCTCAAACTAATAATCATTCCCACCCCCACCTCAAGGAAAAAAATCCCGCCAAGAAACTCTCACGCTTGCTTTCTTAACACATGCAGATTTTCTTTAGAAACCGATTTTAGCAGGACGAGTGCAAAAACGAGTGAAGATTCAACAGAAAAAGATATTAATAAAAGCCTTTGACATTGACCACTTAAATAGGATGCCCTCGTTATGGCATTTCAAACTGAACCCAAATAGCGGTAGCAAGAGCCAAGAAAAGAACTCTCAACTTTTTTATCAGGATCTGCATACTTCCCGCCCCCTGGAACCAGAGAGAGGCGAGCAGAGACATGGAAACGAACTTACTTAGGTCCCTCCTGATTTGGGGCTGTTTGCGACCCACCACTAATTGAGTTAGCTGGTAATCTATTTATTATTCAACACACCCAATAACAAGCTGCCTCTGGCTATTGGCGAGTTTCTTCACTCCAATCCAGATTGGGTCCCAATCTCCGTAATGGGTTAAAAAGCTCACAGCGAAAAATGACAAAAAAACCGGTATAGTGCCCAAAAAGAACATCCATGAGAAATGGACCTGCAAAATCGAATGACATCAATGTTTCAACCATGGACGCGGGAGAAGTTCGCAAAATGATTTTTACCACAGATAGTAAACTGCTACTGAAGAAGATACGTATGAAAATTCAGCTCAGCGGTCACACGTTAGGCATGCGCAAGGGATCAATTCTGACAGCCTGCGCACCAATTTCCCGCGCAAAATTTGTAAGAAAAACATAACAGCTGCTCTCTCGCAAAATAAGCGTAAGAAAATTAAAAACGTTGATTAAAATCTGTAAAAGGAAACAAAATTAGGGAAAAGGAAAACTGAAGAGTTCTGGATCAAAAAGCTTATACGATTACAGTTATCCTGTTGAATCAACATCCTGTTTTGAGCTTTAACAGAAAAGCTATGCTCTTGTTAGTGGCTCGTGTGGTTGTTTGTAACTCGTGCGAGACTATTTGGTTCTGACAGCCTGCAAGCACGATGCGCAGATGTCAGACCACTGAGTTAAAATTCAAATTCACTTACTCTCTTCATGAACACGTCAACGATCATGGTCAGTGGTAAGATCAAAACCAAAGAAAGTGTAGCTGTTAATGATGACGTCAAGTAACAGCCCCTAAAATATAGATTACAAAATGCACTTGTCAGATCGCTAAATATAATGAAATTTAAGTGTTTGTTTCACTTGATCTCAAGTTCCTCTCCTTCAAAGAAAATGGAAAATCAAGGTATGGTTCGAAAGGAGAAGCGCTGAAGTATAAGGTACAAATCAAAATAACTACACAACCACAAAGAAACATGACAAACTCATGATACGGAATGGCACTGTGTGACATGCTAAGAGATACACATGACTCATATAACATCATATTTAATGATATGACATGACGTAACAGGTTATGACATCTTACCCAAAATGACACAAGACAGGATGTCACTTGAAATGGGGCGACATGACTTTAAGTAGTGTTATATGACTTTACATGAGATTACAGGAGACAAATAAAAATGATCCAAAGGAATGTGACTTAAATGACATGATATGAAACCTGAAATGGCATGAGGTAAGACAGTCCATGACGTTACATGTCTTGACATCTAACTTGAAATGACACAAGACACAATGTGATTCAAAATGAGGTGACATGATGTAATGACATGTTACATGACTTGACATGACATGAAATATGAGAAAATGGTATGGGATACAACTTCAGTCACGTGAGATTAGACCAGACATAGCGTGAGATAAGAAAGTCAACATTGTGACATGTCATCATATCTTACTTGATATGACACAAGCTGGCATGTGACTTGAAATGAGGTGACATGTCATAATGTTATGTAACACAACTTACCATGAGATGAAGTGAAACATGAGAAAATAATACCACGTGACATGTGAGGAGTTTAGACTTGACATGACATAAGACAGTCAATACTGTGACCTGTCATGACATCTTAAAATAACACAAGACATGACATGACTTGAGATTGTGTGACATGATGCAATTTTGTGTTATGTGACTCAATGTGAGAGGACATGAAACATAAGAAAATTATATGAAAGTAAATGGCTTTGGTGATGTGACATAAGACCTGACAGGGCATGAGATAAAACAGTCAATGAAAAAGAGAAGATTTACCAAAGCCACAAGGCTTCTGACAGAACTGTTCCAATGAGGGCATTCAAAGTAATATAGCCCCAAACAGTTGGCTCTGGAGGAAGCTTAAATTGCTCAACTTTCCAATAGTTGAGGATGAAAAATCCAGGCCACAGAAGAATGAAATTAAACAATCCAACGAGACCTGAAAGAGAGTTGTACAGTTGGCTTGTCAAAGCAATTTTTAATTGAGCGTTGAATGTACTCTGTGATTGCATTGGTTTTACTTTACTTTACCTTGTAATTGCTCCAGAATAATTAGGCCACTCAATCAACCAATCAGATGTAACACTAACACTAATCATGACATGGTTGCTCATGTTTTCCTTTATGTTAAGCAGTTAATCATTTTCAGTCTGAGTTGTCTTTGGCTCTTAATGGTATTTTCCTTTTCTCTAATTGGCTGTTGTGATAATTTTGATTTTAGTTTTAAAACTTTTGATCAAAAAGCACTCTATCCAAACTAACACATATTTACAGAAAAACTATGACAGCATTTTACTTAAAAAAAACCTATAAAAAATTCCTCTTTTACCAAAGAACATGGGAATGTCCATCTGCTTCTGATTGGGAACCTTATGTTTTATCATTGTTAAATAACAAGCATACCTGAAAAGAAGAAAAAATAACTGACTGTGTAACAAAGTAATTAGAGAGATAAGTACAAGCAACTGATGCTAAGGACAGTTGAGACTTTTTAGAATTCATTAGATTTAGTCTCTTTATCTATTTTTCTGTCCATGTGCTGAACCCACAGATCTTCCAGCATGTTTGAATGTCTTACTGTTGGCCTATCTGTATGTCACTCATCCTTTTATGCTGGCCAGCCTGTTTACATTCTGCATGATTGTTTATGTGTGTGTGTATTTTTTTTAAAATTGGTCTGCCTGTTACAATTCTGCATGATTGTGCATTTGTGCATATTTTTATGTTGGTCTGCCTGTTACAATTCTGCATGATTTTATGTGCGTTTATTTTCAAAATGGGCTGCCTAATGACAATCTGCATGATTACCTAGGTATGTGCATATTTTCATGTTGGTGTTCCAGTTAATAATCTGGGTGTGCGATTATCTGTGCATTAGGCTTTAGGCAGTATCTTATCGGCACTGCTTCATCATGAGCATCTTGCTGTCTGATACCTGCCAGAATCCTATTGTAATAGAAGCTATTTGTATGTTTATGTACTAAATCTCAGCCACACTTACAAGAATGCACTGGCCAAGGCCCATAATGCTCCAACATCTGACAGCATCTTGCTGTCTGATACCTGCCAGAACAATCATGGACCTCTTACCAGCAAGCACAGTGGGCCACTGTGATTATAGTGGAATTTGCAGGAAGTATGAAAGAAGCTATTTGTATGTTTGTGTACTAAATCTCAGCCACACTTACAAGAATGCACTGGCCAAGGCCCATAATGCTCCAACACTGATTCCATCCCCTTTTTTTCTCGAGTCTGCTAGTGTAACCAGCACAATACCAGTAACACTAGAACCAAAAAAAATTAGAGCTCTGTTATTATGACTTTCCATTACTTACTATAGAGGTAACAGATGAACCACTCTGAATCAAGCCAAAGGGAAAAAAAACTAGAACAAATTTGAGCAAAGGGAAAGTAAAATTAGTTAAAGTTAGGCAAGCTATGGTTAGCTGATAGTAAATGACTGAAAAGATGGGGTCAAATCCAAGGGAAATCACATTTTGTTGGAGTTGGCAGGGAGTTTGAGCCAACAGAGCTTGAGTTAGACAAATCCCATTGTAAAGTTACAGAACTGACTAGAAGGAAGTTACCACAATAATTCCATTTGAAATAACCCCCTTATCAAACATGCAATGGAAAATAATTCTCTTAATTAGGGACAACATCAAGAAAGATCAAAAATTTTTGAAAGATCAAAATTCAAACTCACCTCATTAGAACAGCAACAAGCTTTGTCACTGAAAATTTGTCAGAAGTTGAACTCTGGAATATAGATGCTAAAATGAGTGTAAAGAGTCCTGTCATAAAGAGAAAAAATAGCAAGTACTGACTTTGTTCAGCAGTGACTAAGCATGGGTATGATAAGTGTTATGTTTCCAGCAGAAACAATAAAAGGTCTTTTTCTTCTCTATCACTTGCACTATATACCTTTGTTACAAATCAACCTGATGGTTATTTGGCATGGGGTTTCCTGATAATGAAAATGGTTTTGAATTTCTTTTTACAGTCCTTACTACAACCTTAAGACTTATGGAAAAGGTACATGTACTTGCCTGAGTTTCCTTAGTTAATTACTCTCTAAAATGGCAGCAAAACCCATAGTAATTTGAAGATAGAGTTATAAAATTCCCATTTTCTCAGCTTCTTTTGAATTAGCCAAAACAATGAGCAAGACTGAAAAATGAAGTTAAAATTTAGGGTGGTTCCTTTTTCTTATCACCCTTTGTGATTAAAGGCCTGAGTTAAAATGATTTATAACTGGGAAAGTAAGACTGCACAAACTTAAAGGTTTCTTTTACCTGATGAAGAGGACAAAATATTGACAGCAGCTGGCGATGTGTTGGAAATGGCCACTTGGTAACTGCAGTTAGCACTGAACCACTGGATGGAAAAATTTACTTCAAATTAATTAGCAAAAATAGTATGCAATCAATGGTATGAAGTCTTAATTAAGCACTCAAGAGTTTCATTATGAGCTAAGCATGAAGCATATTGATTGACTGTAAAAATGACTTTTGCCAGCTGCTCTTTAAATTTCAACCAAAAGAATAACACAAAAGTGACTATCTTCTCTGAAATAAGATATATTTGACCTTATAGCTGTTAGTAGTTTTTTTTTTTAACAAGTTGAAGGATTGTGTACTTTCCTTGGAAAAGATGATTCAACTGTTGATTGATGCATCATATCATTACTCAATTATTTAAAGAAATCATCTCATTTTGGTAACAAAAGCATGAAGGTTTCTGCTCCAAAAAAAAACCCATAAGAATCTCTATTTACTGAAATATTTCAAAATTTTCTGAGGTAGCACAGCTTAGGATTATGCAAGGCTCTTCGAGCAATATATGAAGTATGGTCAAATGCCACATCCAAAATATCCACCCCTGCTCTGACTTCTGACTCAATATTAAGATTAAAATTTATTGGTCATGGGTGTAATACAGAGCAAAAATCCCCTACAAGGAATCAAGCCCAAGTCATTTAGATTCCCTGTCTCAATGCTTCAGCACTGAACTACAGATAACTCAGTCAGTCTATGGTGAGCTACCAGCTATCACCACATTCATTTGAAAGGAAAGGAAAAGAAAGGGCAGTTTCTTTGTCAACCTCCAATTTGAAATCATCTTGCACTTATGAAAAAGTTTTTTTTTTTTACTAACCAAAAAGCAAAAGATTAAAGCCACTTTAGCCACTTTCCTAAGAGGCAACTTATGGCTTGGTAATTGTGAAGCCTGATATGGCCGTCGTGCACTCCAGGCCTGTTCCCCAACATGGTCTACAGGGTACAAAAAAAAAACTATTGTTAATTGAACAACATGGTTGTGACTTTTTTGCGTTGCTCTGTACATCACTTTTACAACATCAGTTTCTCAGAGGCACTCTGAAATAATAATAATAATAATAATAATAATAATAATAATAATAATAATTTCCAATACCGAATAATTTATAAGAAAAATATCTCCCACTATTATTAATAATGTTTAAACCTTTGGAGTGACTAGCATCCAATTTCTCCCTAGAGCAATACTGCTCAATCATTCATTAAGATCACGAGGATAAAGCAAACGATTGCTGACCTAAGAAGCTTTGATTGTTAAACAAATCCTCCTTTCCAGCACCTCAGGAAATGTTGGTTGAACAGCATGAAGAATATGGAGACTGACATTGCGGTGTAAAACATTAAACACTTGTACCATTTACCTGCTAACCGACGCACCTCTCTCACACTGTTGAAGGTTACTTTTCTAGGCTCTGAATATAAAAATAAATTTATGCCACAGAGTGAAGAAAACTTCAGTCATTGAATGTAATTCATGCACCAATTAATCCCCCCCCTCCCCTGCCCAAGAGACCCATAGGCATTTGGCATTTGACCATTGCAATGCCTGGGGGTGTGGAATTTGAACCTTGCCTTGCTTGGGTGGGGAATCTTAACAATTGTCAAGTCTTTCAAGCAGAATACAAGTGTTATATCTTGAAATATGGAGGTGTTTCAGGAAAATACCGGTAGTTTATTTTAGTGAGCAAATGGCTCAGAGGAAAGGTCTACAAGGTCTAGGTTAAAACTTGGTTAGTGTGGGGAAAGTCACAGTCACTGATTTTCCCTTTTACTAAAAGCTCTTTGAACAAATAAAACAGCCATTGGGTATGTTTGGCAAAACTCCCAGCACTATGTACGTTCCATTTAAGGGGAATAACCTCATCTGGGGTAAAAAATAATAGATATTGTTATATAATTATGTGAATTTAGTTTAACCTCTTCTAAGGGAAAGATATCTTGTCATGTTTTATGTTCAAATTCTCCAAATGAACACTAAAAGAAATAACATAAAGTTAGGAACTCCAGGAGAACAAATTTGCTAACAGATAAAAGACACATCTAATCTTACTGATGTCAAATTGAGCATCACCTACTTGAAATTATTTCATATGAATTACTAGAAACCATATCAACTCCGCTGGTGCGCTCATCATCTGTCATTTGCTCAAAAGTTGGCTCGTTCTGTACATTGAAAATAAAAGCAATCATTGAAAAATTCTTGTCTTGAAGAAATTTGTTGATACTACTGACAGTAACTAGTATTACTAAATAATAGAAGTAACTGCAACAACAGTTGACTAAATGCTTTTAAACTAGCCATGAGATAACAGCTTGGAGACTTGATTTGGTAGTTCTAAACAACCACAAGTAGACATGCAAAGTAATTGACATTGCAGTATGTAGTGACATAGGAGTTAGGGTCCTTCTTTTTGTGGTTGAAGTGCGTTACATGACAATAATGATAATGAAATGGGTTTGGGAGGAGGAAAAGGTTAAGTGAAAGCTAGAATTTTATGAAAGGAATAACACCTTCAGTTGAAGGTAATTTAGGTAAGTGAACTAAGGAAACTTGTTATTTCAAGACATTTACAGAATATACCTGAGAACCTTGGCCAGAAAATTGTTAGCTGGTGCTGTGAATGAATGTAATGGGTAGTGATGATGATGATGATGATATTGACAATAAGAACGAGGACATTACCAACAATTGTTGTGACTGAACATTGACATTTTGTTCAGTTTTTACACTTTTTATCTTCTTTGTACGCATTGCGTGCCATCACTTTGGTGAGATTAAGGTTATATGATTTATGCAACCTCCTGGTTGAGAAATGTACAAAATAAATGGTTAAGTTTTGGAGAACAGCCCTTATTTTTGTGGTTGAAGTGTTTTACACGACAATAATGATAATGAAAATGATAGAAATTATAATAATGATAATAATGATGAAGACAAAGACAAGGACGATCATTATGATAATGATGATGACAATGACACAGACAATGACTGTTCTGGTCCATTAGTTTTGTCCCTTAGTAGAGGTTAAGATTCTTGAAGACAAGGCTGTCTCCAGCTGCTTAACTGCCATTTATTTTAGCAAATTTTCAAGGTGAGACAAAAAGCATAACATCTGGTTAAAGATGGACATGTGAGCAATACTTGTGCCTCTGCCATTAATTATTCATTGAGATCAACAGACTAAGGAGTTTTATGTTAAACAGTGATGGCTACAAAACAACTTAAATGAGAAAACAACACCTTAAAGAGGCAAGCTGAAGAAATTACAAAAGAGTTGTCTACTTTGAGAGAAGGAATCAAGATAGCCAACAATGAGTTAACACATTCAAAGTCTTGAAGATCATCTGAAGAGACCTTTCAAGCAGACTCGAGAGATCTGCAATTTTACACTGATAGTTATGACGCATTGTGTAAGTTTTATAAGGATGCATCCAACAAACTGCAGATGATTGAAAAGAAGTTGCTAACTATCAAAGATAAATAAGCAATTATTTATTATCTATTTGTTACTATTAATAGTAATCTACTATTATCTATTACTATCTATTTGCCTTCTTTCTTTAGAAAAGAAGGCAAATAGGTTTAATTTATTATAAAAATATTAAGCTTCTAACT